AACATCAGACAACTTTTTCCAGCCTGCACTTAAATTGAAAAGTTATCTGGAGCTACTAGTGGAAGTATATAGTGAGTCATCCACTCACTATAACCATAAACCTATGGTGCTCTATGAAAGTCAAAGAGTTAGTCGCTTAGTCGAGTCTGACGCTTGGAGACCCCAACAGAGTGTAGCCCGCCAGGCTCCTCTGTTTATGGAATTCTTTAGGCAAGAATACTGGAGTGGGTTGCCATTCCCTTCTTCAAGGGATCTTCCTGACCCAGGGATCGAATCCCGGCCTCCTGCATTGCAGGCGTCCCGGAATCTGAGTTCACCGTTCATCACCTGAGTCACCAGAGAATAGCACAGAGAAAAGGATTCTTTGCGTCCTCAAACAGGATTTTCCTTTTCTTTTGTCTTCTGCTGGTATTTCACATCACAACGCAGAACGGAGAGCTGGTGGGGTCTGCTTCTCGTCCACCTGGTGCTACCAGGACAGTGACAGAGCGACTCTCTCTGAATCTTCTGTCCAACTAACTGGTTAAAGCCATTACGTTCTTCAGTCAACATCAACATAGTCTGCGCTTTCTTCAGAGACCAGCTGACAAGCAGAAAAACCTTTGAAACTACCAGTGAGATGACATTTACATTTTTTTTAAACTCAGAGAGCCAATATTCAAGTCCAGTCTTAAAAAATTCAAACAACGCAGAAGTATAGAACAAAAACTTAGTCCCCTTCAATCTCTCCTCTAACCTCTTTTTCAAATTGTTAACAGTTTGGTGTATATCCTTTTAGACATTCTCATATAGCTACATAAACAATTACTATTTATTTATCTGTTTCCTATCATTTGGGATCATACAGACAGTTCCATTTATTGCCTCTCAAGTTTCCGAAACATCTTGGAGATATGTCGATACCTGCAGATCTATTCCACTGGCTGGGAAACCACAGCTTGGGGGCTGAGGTCAGCCCACACCTGTTTTGTAAAAGCGGGTTTATTGGAATATAGTCGCGCTCACATTTATGTCTTATCTATGGCTGCTTTTGTGCCACAAGAGGCGGGTAGGGTGATCACCACAGATGCCTAACAGCCTCTGAAGCCTAGTGTCCTATCAGCTTCTTCACAGAAAGACATTTTTTAAAACTAATTAATTTATTTGGCTGTGCAGGGTCTTAGTTGTAGCAGGTGGGATCTAGTTCCCTAACTAGGGATCGAACCCAGGTCCCCTGCATTGGGAGCTCAGAGTCTCAGAGCCACTGGACAACCAGGGAAGTCCCTACAGAAAAACTTTGCTGATGACCTTTGAGCTATTCCATTTTTTACCACTGGCCTAATATTCCACCTAAAGAATACATTACATTTTACTGTTAAATATTTAGCTCCTTTGAAGGTTTCCACAACATGAACAATGCTGCAATGAGTAAGTACCAAGGATTATATCTTGAGAGCTCTTACCCGAAGCCACTGTGAATATGCAACTTGAGAAAGGTGTTTCTAATTACATATTCCAACCACTGAAAAGGATCATGTGATGTGACACAGGTGCTAAATATGGAAACATTAGCACCAATCAGATTATAATACACAAATGCATCAAGTTAATGCTTGGCACTTTCAAATTCACACAGTGTTACATGTCAAATATACTCATGGAAAAAAAGAGAAATAAGAAAAAATAAGAGAAAGGTGCCAGGCACACAGGTTGTTCAAAGAATATTTGCTGACAAACAGCTTTTGAATGAATTATACAGTGCCTTGCCTATTGCAGGCAACTGATCTTTGCTGAACAAATTAATTTACGATAAGGAACTCAAATGCATACTTATTGGTGCTGTTAGTCACTCAGTTATGTCTAACTCTTTTGAAACCCCATGGACTGGAGCCCACCAGACTCCTCTGTCCATGGAATTCTGCAGGCAAGAATCCTGGAGTGGGGAGCCATTCCTTTCTCCAGGGGATATTCCTGACCCAGGGATCAAAGCCAAGAGTCCTGTGTCTCCTGCATTGGCAGATGGATTCTTTACTGTCTGTGCCACCAGACTTATTGACAGTTAAAAGTAAAAAAAGAATTCAGTATGAAGTCACCAAGATCTCCTAGAATATTCACTCAGCTCTTCCCCACTACTGAAGCAGATGACAGAATGGAAGCCATTGCTCCTTTATGTATATAAAATCTAAATCATAGTAACCCACCAATGATGCAGAACACTAAAGTATGTGAAAAATCTCCATGAAGATTTTTCAAGAGCTGCTTGCATTCAGTTATTTATTTTTTATTATTAGTTTTATTTTTACTGTTAGTTTTATTCAGTTATTTTTCAAATCCACCCACTGGTTGTGCAGTATTTTAAGAAGCAGAGAGCGTCCCCCTCAGGCACGTGGTCTCTGGGCACATAGTGGCAACTGGAATTGAGACCCCTGAATATAGTCAAGAGGTTTAAACTAAAGACTGTAACAGCCCTGCCAAAGAGCCTGGAAAAAACCATGCACACCTGCCCTCCCCTGGACCTGGTGTGAGAACTGTGTGTTATATATGAGTCTAGGGTCCGGATTTATACCATTTGTATCTCCTAGAACCCTGAGTTAAGGAGCTGTCTCTAGAGGTTTAGTGGAATTCCAATCCGGCAATGATGAAACCCTGTGGGATCCCCGCTGAAACAGACGCAGGACTGCGGCACCGCATGGCCACTGCGGCAGGACGGGGACTCCAGAGATTCCCACGGGAGGGGGAAAAGTCTTATGAAGCTGAAGCTGAACTTACGACAAAAAACCCCCCAGATACCACGTAAGCAAGGTAAACCAGGATGAAGAAGCATTAGCAAATGCAGGCAGAAGATGCTGAGTTATTGAATGGTTGACATGAATCAAGTCCCTAATGGCGAACAGGATGTACACTGTTTGCGGATTTTCTTTTCTGCATGCTCACTTATGTACTAGTTTTCTACAAAACTTATTTTGTTGAGAAGACATTTTTAAGAACTATGTTTCATAGCAGAAAGCAGGTGTTCAGCCTGCTGTACTGCTGGGAGTTGCTGGAATATGAATTTCATGCAGCCAACCAAGAAATGTGGTCTTTCCCCGTTCTTCTCTGAGGCCAACGTTCCTGTCATGGAGAACAGGCACTTTACAGGGGAGACGATTCTTTGCAGTGGAGGAGGAAATTCCCACAGCTCTCACTGGTACAGATTTAAAAGAGAAATGGAGTGTCTAACACACAGACTTGACACATGGGTGGCTCACTCCGCCGCACTGTTAGGCAGACACATGGTATGTGTGATCCTGGAGGATTCTGAAGGGAAAAAGAGGCGCCGGGATGGTAGGCCTGGGGTGTGAACAGCATCCTCCTCCTTGTGTTTACTTTAAGCACTTGGTGATGAATGCAAATTTACCTGTGCTCAATAATATCACTTATAAATTATATGTAGTTTCAACTAAAATAAAAGACAAACTCCTGCAGAAACTGTGCACCTGAGAATCTTAAAAGAACTAGTAACTGATCAGCAAACAAGAAAATGGCAATGCTGACTTCTCATTCCTAGAATGAGCTCTTTGGAAGTGTAATATAGGACATGCATGTAATCTTTTTACATCACACACACACACAGAGCAGACTCTTCTGCCCACAGAATTTTCCAGGCAAGAAAACTGGAGTGGGGTGCCATTTCCTACTCTAGGGGATCTTCCTGACCCAGGGATTGAACCCGTGTCTCTTGCGTCTCCTGCATTAGCAGGTGGATTCTTTACCACTAGTGCCACCCGGGAAGCCAAGACAACCAAGTCACTTCAGTACTGAGAAACTGTGTCTAGCAGCTAGGAAATTATCCTGGCGACAAGTGGCCAGTGTCCTAAGAATGAGTCCTTTCAGAGCCTGAGCTCCAGACTAAGGTGCTGGGGACATACGGACAGTGACAGCCTTTTGCTTCCCCGAGGTCGCACAGAACGTATTACAACACTGGAGCCCTCTATCTCCTGGTAAGTCACACATGACGGAGGGCATACATGTGATATCTGCCCACGAGGATGCACACAGACACGAGAGCTCCCCAGAGGCTTTCTTTAAGGAAAAACAGGACAGTAGAACAAAGAGGGCTGCAGACAACATTTGGAGTAAAATATATCCATAAAAGGCATTTTAGGAACATGTGTGTGTTAACACCAGTTGTCTAAAAAGTCACAACAGCTGCAGCATGGATAACACGGGCTCTTTGCCAGCTGTCACTCCACTCTGCCTCTAAAATTTAAGGAAGTAAGCAACTATTTATTATTATTGTAACTCTTGACTCTGCTCAGATACAGTTTTAAAAATTTTCAAATTTCAGTAAATTAACTATCTTGAGTTAACAAGTCACTCACGATATTTCACACAAATGACTAAAATCAAGACCAGGTCGTGACATCATGGGCAGTGCTTCTTGGGGACGGTGTTAGTCACTGTTGGGTCCAAACTGGTTGCAGGTGCAACGTGACGCCCATCACCTCTGCCTTCTGGATGACTGGCCCTTCATTCAGCCACGTCTGACCGCAAGCGGCCTCCTTGACTTTCCCCGGCGTGCACAACGAGCACGACTCCTTTCTGTGTGCAACCGCATTGAGACGGGACGCCTCCTAACAAGGGTCTGCAAACTGCAGCCTGTTTCCACATGGCCCGTGAACTGCCAATGGTTACGCCAGAGTAAAAGGCGAGCCGAAGCGACTGACAAGGGATTGCTGGGCGGCCTTGGGGTGTGAGGCTCTAAGACGGTTTTTTTCAGGCTGACATGGACTTCCGGAATGAGGCAGTGGCTTAGGGTCAACAGGAGAGGATATTTGAAATCGGGCTCTTTGAAAAACATGAAGGGCTCTGTATTCTCTTATCTGGAATGTGTGTCTCAATGTTGTTTAAAGGAAGACAGAAAAAAGGCTACTTCTCCACATCAAAGAGGAACAGATAAGGGGTGGGAAGGACAGGAAACGAGAAACGAACGTTTCCGAGCCTGGAGCATTCTACTGCACAGGAACACATGCATCTCTTACTTGCACACGTGTAGGCATCTTTGCTGGTGAAGAGCTTCATGCACTGGTGGCAGCTAAAGGGACCCACAACGGAGATGGAACTGAATGCATGCCCGTTCACAGTCTTCTTGTCCTTCTCCTTCTCTTTAGAGTCTTTCTCCTTCTCCTTAATTTTATCTTTCTCTTTTTCCTTTTCCTGCCAAAGAAAACAATCGACATTACATTGTTAATCGAACACTGGAAGGCCTTCCCTTCTAGAAGGCTACTGGGCTACCTGTGGTCAACAGTGGCTGGTAAATGTTTTGAATCAAAGTTAGGAATGCTGTCCTGGACATAAAAAATTTTTTTTATTAACTTGTGTGCATTCGAGTTGCATTAGAAAAACCTTAGGAGGACTGGGCAGGTTGAACAGTTTTGTCCCTGGCTTGAAAAGTCAAACTGTTAGTCGCTCAGTTGTGTCTGACTCTTTGCAACCCCATGGACTGTAGCTTGCTAGGCTCCTCTGTCCATGGGATTCTCCAGGCATGAATACTGGAATGGGCTGCCACTGCCTTCTCCAGGGGATCTTTCCAACCCAGGGATTGAATGCAGATCACCGGCACTGTAGATGGATTCTTTACCATCTGAGCCGCCAGGGAAGCTATGCCAATCAACACGTTCATTGCCTAGGGACCAGCATGGGTGCTGGGGGAGGAGAAGCCTGCAGTGGCCCTGGGGCCTCCCGAGACAGCCACGCTGAGCCCATGGGGGAAGCCAGCGTCGAGCCCAGTAGCAGGGCAGGGAGCAGAAGAAAGGATGCGATGGTTCTGAGACCAGCCCGAGGGAAAGATGATTAAGCAGTGTGAAAAATGACTCAAGGTTCCCCATGACTGCCTCCCACCCACCACATACCCTCAAGAGAGGGCACATATCTGATAACTGCCTCCCCTACTCTAGCCAGAAATATGAACTATCCCCCATATAGACACTTGCTGTTCTTACTAATTAATTTCAAGGTTCAGCTTTGGCGCAATTTTCAAACTGGAGGAGAACGCAAAGAAATACTAATGAGTATTAGACCCTTGGTAAAATATCCAAAGCGGTCAGGGGCATTTCAGGTACACGCTACCCTTAGGAGATGAGGACTGTGTGGTCTAACTACACACTCTTCATACAAAGGTCCTTCCAGACACGGTTAGACAGACCCTTGGCTGGTTAATCAACAGCAGATGAATGACTTTCTTCCAAACTAACTGGATCCTGAATGGCAATTTACAGAGGCAGAGGGATGCATTTAGTAGTGGTCATCATCACCAACGTTAGGGTGCCCATTTTCCAGGGCATATAACAACACTATTGCTGTCATCCAAAACAATTCCTGAAAAAAGAGACACCCTGAAGTTAATGATCATTGACAACTACCAAAGGCCTTAGATTTTCAATCAATGTTTTCTAACTACATTATTTCATCTGATTCAATAACTCTGAAGTGAGTAGGGTAGGCATTATGCCTCCCATTTCCTAACTGAAAAGATAAACAACAAAGATAATAGCAGGCAAGAGTTGGAACAATCTCTACGTGCCAAGCACTGCAGAAAGCAACTGACATGAAATTTCTCATTAACAACCCAATGGCGTGTAAGGACCAGCTCTGATTTCCGTGTGACACTCGAGGAGCCGAGGCTGAGAGATGGCTCATGTACTGGAGGTCATACACCAGTACCTGTCCAAGCTGGAGCTAACTTTCAGATCTGCCAACTGTAAAGCTCAGCTCTTGGTCACTGCACTCTACTGCCGAGGACTAGAGACATTTGTGGACTCACAGAATGTCACACAGCAAATGATCTGCAGTTAAAATCAGAAACCCAGGTCTTCTGACTCTGTATTCAGAACTCATCTGCTATCCTGAAATGGTGAATGTTTGCTAAGTCTGTGATTCACATAAAGTCCTTTGTTAATACCCTCTGAGCCACCAGGGAAGCACCCTATGTTAATAGCATGCATATGATAAAAATCCAAGAATCAAAGAATCTAAAGAATCACTTTAGAACTATAAAAAACAACAGGAGAGGAAGGGAGGAAAAACAAACTACTTCACTTTATAAAACAGGAAACTGTTCTGAGTGAAAATTCGTTAACTGCTAAAGTATCTAAAACTCTAATAGAAATCAGTATGAAGAAATTGAGTTTTTCTAATAATTTTTCTCTGAACTAAATTTTGCTGAAGGCTTCTTATATACAAAATGTTAAACTGAAGAGCACCTGAGCTTTTTGCTCAAGAAAGCTAAAAAAGTTGCTCTGAGAGTTAAGAAAATCTGTAGGCAACTAGCTTACTCTCCCCCAAGCCTTGCTATGCTCTTCAAATCTGAACAGATAATCTCCCCATCCTTTGCAAGAACCCTGACCAGCTCCTCCAAGGATAAAAACAAAACAAAACAACAGACTCCACTGTGTCTGTCTCTGTTGATCGGAAGCTAGTGCTGTAAAGAAGTCAGGCGCTTACCTCCCCATGCCTTGCTCCTATGAATCTCACTGTTATGAGGGGTGCTTCATGAAAACGACCCCATTTTGCCGACATGATTCGACCCCCATGCCAGGAAATATGCTCTCACGGGAGGAGGGGCTCATGCCGGCGGGGCAGGGCCTGGCAATATTGAGCTGCCATTAGAGCAACCACTAGAGAAACTGTAAGAGGAAGCTGGGGACGGGTAGAGAAAAGGAACGGGGGAGGGCTGAGGTTGCGGGTTTCCTCAAGACAAGCTTAACTCTTTGTACGCTGCTGGTGCAGCCCGCCGCCCAGGCACAGAGGACCCAGGGTGCTACGGGACAAACTCCCTCGCACACGCTGTGAGCGGGCAGTGCTTAAGTGGCGGGACGGGAGCCCTGGCAAAATGAGGCGGGTTTTTTCCTCAATGCTGCAAGTTAAGGAACACATCTATTTAAACACATGTCCTCATTTTCTAAAGAAAACTTTTTTGGTGAAGTCGCCTATGGAAAGGCAGTGATTGGCTGTTTTCTGAAGTTTGATTTTTCCAGGCTTATCTCCTGCCAAAATGCCTTAAACTTGTGTGCTGGGGAAATGGAAACTAATAATATTTAACGGGAATAATGCAAGAGACAACTGCACTAGGATACGATGAGGGGAAATGATATTTTGGTTCTTCTAAACCTACCATTTTAGACAAGTAATTACGATTAAAAAAAAATAATTCTCTGGAAAACTGTAAAGCATACTATGATTAAGGAACTGAAGAAACAAGAGGGATGATGATATCTAATGTTGCTTTAAGTCTTGGCAAACACTACTTTACCCTAGTTAGCACCTCTGAAAGGCTAAGATGTTTAGTTCTGTTTTAGACACTTCACAGGAACTGGGAGGTGAAGTTGAATGTCTTGCCATGAAGCCGGGGAGTAGATTAACATCTGTGCAGGAATCTAATCCTTGCATCCAAAAAGGCCTATTTCAAATCAGATTAAGAATTTGTCTCAAACATCTCTGACCATCTCCTACTCGTCTGCAAAGAGGAAAGCTTAGGAAAAAAAAATCAATGTGACAGATGGTTTAGAAAGGGTCACACCCCACTCCCTCTGTAATGAGGACATTTTATATATATACACACACACATACATACTATGTGTGTGTGGCTGTTATGTTATGAGTCTGCAGCAAGCAGACTTACTTAGCAGGAAACAGTACTACTTCTTAAAGATACTAAAACACAAAAGCAGAAACTGCCTGCCAGTCTTCCTGTTTTATTTCCTGTTTAGGTTCTCCTTCTTTCACACACATACACGGCTCAACATATTTATCTATTAACTCATGCCAGTTAACGAGAATTCTTGAAAGGACCTATGAAGGATCAATACTCAATTTCCCCCAAATGCCTCATACTCACATGGCTACAGATATGAAAATATATATAGCGTATATTATGTTATACATACAGTATATTATATAGAGAGTGCTTACACTAAAAAACTAGTGCTAACATCTATAGTAGCATTTCAATTTTTTAAGCATTATGGAGAAGTAACATTATTCAATGGGTAAGAAAATCAGTAGAGCCAGCATCATGACACGAAGAAAATATTCACTCATTTTTATGTTATCCTTTTAGAGAATCAAACATTCTGAACGGAAAAGCCCTCCTGTGGATACAATGGCAAAGACAGACAACGTATTTAATGCAACCTAACATAAAATGTGGGGCTTCCCTGGTGGCTTAGTGGTAAAGATTCCCCTGCAATGCAGGAGACATGGGTTTGATCCCTGCGTTAGGAAGATCCCCTAGAGAAAGAAATGGCAACCCATTCCAGTATTTTTGCCTGGGAAATCCCACAGACAGAGGAGACTGGTGGACTATATAGTCCAAGGGGTCACAAAAGAGTTGGACATGACTTAGTGACTAGACAACAATATCATCATAAAATGCATTACTTCACCAATTCTCCTGTTTCTTATTATCTTTTGGTATATGGACAAAAGGTGAGCTATCCTTTTGTGAGGACAAAACAATCTTATTTGAAGTGAGCTGGTAACAATGATCAAAGATGACTCTTAAGCTTCTTAACACACTAATAATGTGGCTAAAGGGGTGCCTACATCCCTGATAATGTGAAATGGACTGCAATCCAGGGTTACAGATTTGTAACTTTTGGAGAATTTCCATCACTAGAGATAGCACTGGAGAAGGCAATGGCAACCCACTCCAGTGTTCTTGCTTGGAAAATCCCATGGACGGAGGAGCCTGATGGGCTGCCGTCTATGAGGTCGCACAGAGTTGGACACGACTGAAGCGACTTAGCAGCAGCAGCAGTAAAGATAGCACAAGCTGCCAGAGACCAAATCTTAGGGCCAAGAGCCTGAAAGGGGAAGCAGTCTCATTGCAAAAGAGTGCAGTCACTCTGACAAAGAGAAGATGGGAGGTGACAGGTCACCTGAAGACACCCTGCTGCTGCTGACAGACTGCACTTGCACACAAATTACCTTCTTTTTGCCTGCCCCTTTTCAGCCCTCTCCTAGCAAACTCCAGACTCCAGTCCTTTGAAATTATTTAAAAAAATTAAAGGAAAGAGACATTGTGCAGCTCACTCTTGCTGAAGAGCGAACATGAAATGAACAGTATTACTTGGTAGACGTCAGATCACGAGATATGACCCAGTCTGTGACCTGAAGCGTACTTCTCTGTGCCGCGGTTGGTAAAATGAGACCGGTGCGAGATGCTTTTAAAGGTCAGGTCCCAGTTTCTGCGTTCAGTCTCATGTCGTTTAATTCACGCCTGCCTGTACTGCCTCGCCAAAGCCATCAGCGACGTATTCACTACTCTGCCCCTAAGCTGGTGTCACGAGGGAGATGGATGGAAAAGGGGGAATTCTCCACTTTACTCTGGTCTTCTGGTTAGAAGTTTGTTTGGAGAAAAGATTTCACAGTTTAAAACCAAAATAAAAGGCAAGAGAAACACTTGAAATCATCCGAACAGATGGTAAAAGTGGTCCAGGTAAAGACTATGTGCTTTGGCTCCTCCAGAGGCCCGTCAGCACCTGGGAGAATGCTGACTCCATTCAAACACACCTGGCCAATTAACACTGCCCTTTCAAGGAGGCCTTCTTCTGCTGATGCCAGCCAGTGGCCACGCCAGCTGATAAGACAGACACGGCTCTATTTTCAGCCCTGCTGCCACACAAAGAATAATAAGTGTTCTGCCCTCTTTAACCTTAACTGTTTTGAATTATAAGACAAGACTAAGCATGAGGTTAGCGCTTAAATATGAGACCATTCCAGAAACAGTTTGCTAGACTCTTCATGAGTCTTCTAGTTTGCCTACTTTCTGTCCATTCTGCACCTGGGCAGGTGAAATAAGGAGAAAATGTAATTGTGATGGCAGGTTTTCTGGAAAAATTTGAGTGATGACCAAACCTAGTATTTGCTGAAAGAAGAGATCTTACCTCATTTACAAAACTCAGTAATTATGTACCTGAGTGTACGCATATAACACACAGATATATAGTGATTCCCATGCAAGAAGTCCTTGAGTCTCAGTTTTTTCCTCCTTATGTTGTTGGAGGTTAGGTGGGTGAATAGAGTGTAGGAAAGTGAGAGGCAGAAAGTTTTCCTCACTGATTTGAAACAGAATCTTCCGGTTTAGCAATGGGAATTAGTATAAGAAAGTTAACTGTTTTTTTCCTTTCTAAAAATATATTTAAAAAATATTAGAAGAGTATTTATCTCTATGTGGGATTATTACAGGTAATTTTTATTCCTGATTTTTTCCCAGATGAGGCACCTTACTCCTAATAAAGGGAGATAATATCTACTTACAATGTGTGGAAATGATTAAATCAGATAATACATGGGAAGCTCTCAGCATACAGTAAAAATTCAATTAGTAGTGTTATCTCTTATGGTTGTTTTTCTTGCTGTTAGTTTTCTTCAGATATTAGCTTCCTGGAGTCAGCATCTGTCAACTCAATTCCACAGGACCCCATCACGTAATTAGTTTCCGGCTGTGTGCTGTGCCCGGAGCCTACTGAGGGCTGGCTGAGGGGTCACCCAGAAACCCCACAACAGTACTCACCTTGCTCTTTTTACTGCTGGACATTTTGTTCTTGATGTAGCTGAACGTACGACTGACTTTGGTTCCACTCTTTATTTCAAAATCTTTCTTGGGGCTTTGTGGCAGGAAATTAAAGTTCTCTTCTGTTATACTAAATAGAAAACAGAAGAGTTTTAAAAAAGATTACAGAAGTTGGTTTTTTAAAAATTAAAACACTCTACATATAATTCTTTGTAACCATCACCGTCAGGTATTATTCTGGCTACAAGTTACAGCCAACTTACATGCTCACGTGCAAATGGGCAAAGGAGTAAGGGTGGCCAGAGGCTGCTGAATGGTTTTATATAATCATATCAACCCAAGAACAGAGCATACCACAATGCTCATGTCCTATTGCGAAAACTTGGCTAAATTTTCTATGTCAGTTATTAGTGTTTCACTAATGGGTTTTCAGGGATCTGATGCTAATTGTTGATTAGAATTAATGACTAATTAGTCATTAATTAAATTAAATTAATTAACCTAAAACAGCACCCAATGTATAAACTTCTTTGCATTTAACAGGTGTCTAAAAAGAAGCCCACAGATGCAAACTAAGGAGTTTTTATGACTGAATGCATATACAAGTTCCCTCATAGCAGAGATCACACCTTTTCTTTAGGTTTCTGGCACACTGGACCGTCAATATGTGAATTCAGTTATGCACGATTTAAGGAGGCAATATATTGCATGGTAGGTAGAACGGACACTGTGTGCAGAAAGAGCTACTGGAGGAGTTTCAGAGACTTGGAGGTACCGGTCTACTTGCTTAGGACACCTGTGTCCTAAGCCCATCCGTGATGGGCATCTCCAGACCCTGGGAAACTCACAAAGGCTGAGTTCCTCAAAGAATGCTGGACCCTTGTACACAGTATCATTTGTGTACACACACAACTATGTAGAACTGTTACATAATACATCATCTGTTATATAGAAACCTATTCAAACTACTTTCCCTAGGGTCCCAGAACAGTTATGCTAGAAGTTTTCCATGGAAAAGTAGTGTTTGCCTCAAGGGCTTCTGTGAGAGTAGAGACAAGTAGGACCACATGGGTCCTGTTCAGTAGCTCAAGTCTATTTATATTTAAAATACTGCTTGGAATATATAGTAGTCTGTTACTAAGACAAAGGGGAAATGAAAATCACTGCTCTACAAAGAACAAAGAGTAAGCAGAATTTGACGTAAGTGCAAACAAGAGGACTCATATCGATAGAGTTCTGGATTACTGGGTCACAATTGACGCCTTTGTGAAAAAGAAGGCAATTTATAAGACACTGCAGTGCAACAGTGAGAACCCCAATTATGCTTAAGATTGAATAGTTAATCTTGTAAGCTTGAAAAGTAGAATATAAAAATAAACAATGAGTCAAAATAGCAATCTCTAGCCTGCTGTTAAAAACTAAGTCACTTCCCTGGACAGAGGTGTGTACTGACTGGACCTCTACAGAAGAAAATAGCTTTAAAGCTTACAGGGGCTAAGTAGGCAGCAATATTGCATGAATACCAATACACACACACTGTGAAACAAAATGTTCTTAGACTTAGAAGTTAAAAATTGCCATAAGCAAAGAGTGCAAAGTACATAAAGTTAATATAAGTGTATCCTATGTGACTAAGTGCAACCAATAATCTTTATCCATAGGATGCTATAAAGAATAAAAGTAGAAAACTATTCAGGACATAAATTAAAAGACCAATATTCCATATTTATCAATCAAGGAAGTAAAATTCCAGTACGTTCAATTAACTTATTTTGCATAAATGTGTTAAGACATTTCAGATTTCCTTCATTTTATCTTGAGAAAAGGAGTAGCAAAATAAATGTATATCGTACCTCCCAGTCAGATTAGAACTGGTGCTGTGGAAGGGCCGTGAACCTGGAAAACAAGAATGGCAGGATAAAAGTTAGAACAAAAGCATTTTACTTGGATAACAGATAAAATGTTTAGTGTTTTTATGACTGACACAGATAAAGCAAAAAATAGCCTCTGAAAGCCCGTGTGGCGTGCTTTTCCTTCTGAGGGTTTAGAAGAAGGAAAAATTAAAAATGAAACCTTCAAATTAGAACTGGAAATTGGCAGCAATTGGGAGTGAATTTCTCATGGGGAAAATTTCTTTTAATCCAGGATTCAAGTAACCAAAGAAACCCCAAAATCAAACAATGAAAATGCTCAAATGTATGTTTAATTTCTGTTCTTATGAAGGTTCATCAGAGTCCATAGACCATCTTTCTGAGATGCTGTCAGAGAAGGAATATACTACAGGAAGTGACATGTCATTTTCTGTATGCTGTTAATTTTGTATTCATATATTTCTACACTAAAAGTCTAGCTAGTATATGCCTGACATTTTCCTGAGCATGCCTAGAAATGGATTAGTGAACAGGAAAGAGCATTAGACCCAACTTATAAGGTCTAGGGTTTACCACTAATTTGGGGTGAAATCTCCGATTTCATTTCTCCATCTCTGAAATAAGATAAAACAGATGCTAAGGGTCTTTCTAGGTTGATACTGATAAAATGAGTAGGGCAGATATATTTTTCCTCCTTCCATAACTATCAGACCATAAACTGAAATGAGTCATTACATCAACAGCTAAGTCAGACAGGGTATTAACTGGAACAAATAAAGAAGTAATGATACCATTATTTTACCTATGATGTGTTAATAAAGGTTAACCTACTTTAGGACTCAGATGATAGAGAGGCCGCAATCACACAGTGACAAGTGCTTTCCAAGTTTTAGGAGATCAAGTATAGAAACACCTTCTGTGTGTGATTCCAGGTAGACAAAGGTTGCTCTGTGTAACTACTGTTATTATGTGGACAAAACACACCTTTCTCCTTGAGGTTACTGAAACTTCGATTTGATAGAGGTATGAAAAATGTTCCACTATCAGATTATCAACATTTGAAACTCTCAAAAACTCCCAAATTGTTCCAGATTTTGAATAGAAATGCAAAGCTGAAGTCATTACTGACATAGAGCCAACAGGTGTAAATAATGCATTAGAAACTTAAAAATGAATTCAAAGGCTTCAAAAGATGGCTTTTATAACTTTTCCTTTTAATTGTTTGGGGCTTTCCTTCTATTTCACTTATGATGCACAATAACAACAGCCAGAAGAGAGAGGAAGAGGAAGAGGAAGAATAAGACCTGGGACCTATCTTTCAGTTCTGCATGATCTGGTGAAAACACCAGCATTTAAAGCTCAGAATGCCTTCATTTACCTAAACAAAAATTAAGAGTGTGGTTTAGATTAGGGCTTTAAAACTTTTACACTTAAGAAGCCTCGAATGATATAAGCACCATCAAGTTCTCTCAGGCTGCCAGGATTCTGCTGTACATGTAATCAATTACCTAGTAAGTTACCACCTCAGTAATATGAACAAAGTAAAAATAAAACTCATAAAGAAAAACACCAACCAGCAGAGAGCCTGGCCAAGAATAAGCTCCCAGAAGGTTTCTGTCAAATAAACTAAGAACTCAACAAATACGTGATACAAATACTGTGAGAATCTGTAACTCCTATAAGGATTTCCAACTTTTTTGCTGCTAAAAAATACTTCAATTCATTTTAATTCATTTACTATGACCTCTCAGGTATGGTTCTGAAAACAGTGACTAATTCAGCAATGTTTCTAAAATAAATGCTTCTGACATTCCTGAAGTGTCAAGTTTTCAGAGCATCTAAGAACATGATATAACCAACGTTACTTCCATGACATAATTACAGACAGAAGCAAAGAAATGTCATTGAATTTAGCCTATTAGGTACTACTGCAAGTAAATAGCATATTTCAACGAGCCTTTTTTTGTTTTAAGGCATGAAACAACCTGCAGACCTAATACAGTAACATTCCAGGACTGGAACTGTTAGACGGACATAGTATTTTTAAAAGTGTGTTCCATGGAACACTTGTCTCCTGAGACGTCATACATTGTCTTGCACATACTATGGTTTACCTGGTTAATACATTTTGGAATCACAGCATATTGAACACTACCTTCAAAACTCACAAGATACACATAAGCCTTTGAAATCTGCTTAAAATAGTTTCCTAAATTTATATGTTCAAGAACCAAACTCTTCCCCCCACATCTCTCTTATCCCCCCTACCCCATAATTTTTCACTGTATTTTTGAAATTAAGGAACACATTTTGAGGAATGCTGGATATTTGATTCAAGGGTTTCTTTGAGCTTCTATTCTTTGTGATGACATTATGTTGGATTAACTGAGTAACCAGTGCTGATTAACTGCATAACTGGTAATAATTTTATATTAGTGGTAGAAGAAACACTATTGGAAACTTAGTTTTATTTGCCATGCTAACCTATTTCCAAGCATATTACAACTACTTTGAGATGAACCAGCCTTGAGAATTTGGAAAAACTCAAAAAGTTGTAGAAAAAAGTTTGACAGTGTCTTTTAAATGTCACAGATGGACAGCTAGGTATCTGTCCCATGAGACAACTTCTGTCCTGTGACAACTGGTATGGAGTGAAAATCTTATATGCCTATACCAAAGGCCGTTTACTTGTGAAAAAGTATTGAAAATATAAGATCTTCATTTGTGCCTAAGCCACTTTCCTTTAAGAACAACACAAAAATGTCACCTTGAACTTGATATTGCTAAATATTAAATTTTATTTATTTTTTATTTTTCTGCCTTTTTTCATTTATTTTTATTAGCTGGAGGCTAATTACTTACTTTACTAAATATTAAATTTTAATATTTAAGTATTAAATACTGCTCAAACTTAGGATCAGCAAATGGTGCTGAATAAGCATGCTTAATCATATTTATAACTGCCTGAGACTAATTTGATTTATATGAAAACAATTATTTAGCTTTATACAGCAAGTAGTTTTTCCATTAATAACAGCAATCCTGGAATTGTCTAGAAATCTCATACAACTATAAAGAGTAATTTTCATGGCGGTCAGGATTCATTTCCTCTCCGAGTTTACTAAAACTAATATTAAACTAGATTATTAAGTAATGATATAATAATCTGAAACCTACAGTGTAGTGAAAGGATTGAAAAATAAAAGTTCCAAAGGAACTTCTTCCACCCAATTAATTCACGTGGTTTAATCTCACAGAAAAGATATTCTTAAAGAACTGGTCTGGGGTAGCTGCCTGGTGGCCTAGAGGTTAGGAGTCGAGCTTTCACTGCCATGGCCTGGATTCAGTACCTGGCTGGAGAACTAAGACCCCACAAGTCATGCAGCGCGGCACCCCTGCCCCGCCAACAGACAAATAAAAAACTGACAAAGACTCAGGGCAGGGGGGAGGGGAGAAGAAAAAAGTTTGACAGTGACTTTTAAACGTCACAGATGGACATCTAGGTATCTGTCCCATGAGACAAAAGAGGGGAAACAATGACAGTGAGATTTACATGCCTGAATGGAACGTTTTGAGAAGTTAGTACACAGCATTACAAAAGGCACAAGGCGGGCTGGGAGCCCCTTACGCCTTTGCAGGTATCTCTGTTCTGAGGTGATGTCTCGGGCCCTGGAACTGGGTCAGTGAATCAGTCAACATTGGTGGTGTACAAGACAAAAACTTTATAATTTTATCCAAATTCATTTTCAAAGCAAAGCATGAAGGCAAATGATTCAGCAGTGGTGACATGCAAGAGGATTAAAGCCCCCCAGTCTCTTAGTACCAAGCCTACAGCATTTCAGCGCTGGTCAGGCCCTGGAGAGCAGCCCCTGGACCCCAAAGTTGCTTACTTACTATGCAACTCCTCCTCCTCATCACTGGAGTGAGAAGAGCCAAGAGAAAAGAGAGTTTTAGACTTAAGGAGGAGAGGTGAGATGCTGACGGAGAGCGAGATCCGCCGTGCTGGCCGCATCTGCTGCTGGGCTGAGGAACAGGTTAACAGAAGACATTAGCGCCTGTGGATCACACCAAAACAAAGACCATGGTGCCGAGAACCATGTCACTGGCCTGCAGGATGCCAGGGAGGCTGTCTAGGCTTCTAGGTGTTCTGTATTCACATTTTCACCTTTCTTCCTCAATATGCAGAATGGTAATGCAACTTAAGAAAATGCATCCAACAAAGATGTACTTGTTAGATTGTGAAAACAGGAAGTGTGCTACTTTTCACAGCCATCATTTACAGCCAGAGTTTGGTTGTTTTTTTTTTTCCTTCAAGGTTAGGAAACGCCTGGCATGGTGGTGTTCCTTGGGATTCTCTATTGGCTCTCTTGCCGCCCACCCCAAACCTCCTTATTCACTGTTGCCTCTTCAAGTACAATCTGCAGGTGATACAGTGATGACTCACAGCTTTCTATTTTCAAGTCTGGTCTGTCCTTTGAATTCAAGCCTCATTCATCTCACTGCCTACCTGTGGGCAGACATCCCACAGCAGCTCAAACTCAACAAGCACATACACCAACTCAGGCCCTTCCTCCAATCATTCCTCCTCGTTTACTCTTTCCTCTGGTGAATGGTACCTAACACCTAACTCATCATACAGGACAGGAACCTGGACACCACCCTTCAATCCTTTTATCGCCTCTCACTCAGCGCTTTTAATTCTGTCTTCTAGAATTCTCTGAAGATCAACTTCTTCTCTACTGCCACTGGTTTGTGCCTGCTTCGGGCCAGCACCTGCTCTCATCAGAGCTCTGCAAGAGCCTTCTACTCACCTACCAGCCTCTCCTTCCCAACACGATCTTCAGTGAGGTCTCTCTGCAGTGTGAGAATCAGTCGACTTAACAAAAATCACTCCATTGCCCTCAAACAAGAAGCCCAGAGTCCTCAGTCTAGCTTTCCACCTGCTAACAAACCCAGTGATTTCCCAGTGATTTCCTCTTGGTCTTGACTTTGGCATCACTTCTCCCCAAGGCTTCCCTGGTGGCTCAGACGGCAAAGAATCCACCTGTATCCGGAGACCTGGGTTCGTTCCCTGGGTTGGGAAGATCCCCTGGAGGAGGGCATGGCAACCCACTCCAGTATTCTTGCCTGGAGAATCCCCATGGACAGAGGAGCCTGCTGGGCAACAGTCCAAAGGGTCACAAAGAGTCAGATACGACTGAAGCGACTTAGCACGGTCCCCAGTTAGGCTTTTCTAACCCCACAAGTCTGGGGTTTCTAAGCACCCAATGTTTCTTTCAACTGCCGCACGTATCATCATCTGCTACACTCAACAGTTCTCATGTCCTTGAGCTGAAGTCTGGTGAGAAAAGGAATCGTTTCTGGAAGGTCATGCCTCTCCTTCCACTGTCTCACCTGGTGCCTAGCAAAGGACAAGTTCTTAACTGTTGACTAATTTAACAAATGAATCAATGAATTTCCTTTTGTCAGGCTTTCTGTAAGGTCAACACCCTAAATAAAATGAAAGAAAAAACCCTGTGCCTATCCAGCACAACAGACACTCCACAGCCCAGACAAATGCCGCGTGATGCAGACCACAGGGTAGAGCCACAGCTCCTAACAAGGAGCGCCTGCCACGGACTCGCATGCATTGGCTTTTCCAGCAGTGACAGTCCAGTGCAAAGGCGAGATGACATTTTAACGTGTGTTCTACAGTATTCCCAAACGTGAAGCAAATATAAGAAATGAAAATAACCTCTCTTAATTACCCAAATCTCAGAGTATCCCCTTCTTCTGTCACACGATCAAGGACCATAAAGAAAAACCTACTTGTAAGAATAAGGAGTATCTTCAACATGTATGGAAAGAGTATGTTCTGCTAACACAGGGATTCAGTTTTAAAATGCACTAAAATTTAATGACCATGAATACATGCCATCCTCATAATTTAATCAGAAGGCCAATATCAAAAGTCAATCTGGGGATTTCCCTGGTGGTCCAGCAGTTAAGAGTCCGCCTTGCAATGCAGGGACACGGGTTTGACCCCTGGTTGGGGAACTAGGATCCCAACTGCTGAGGAGCTTTTAAGTCTACATGCCACGACGAAAGATCCTGCTTGCTGCCTGAGACCCGACGCAGTCATAAACACATATTTTTTAAAAAGCCAATTTGCCTGACCGAATTTCTCTTCTGATGAATTTGTCAAATATTATCTTCTCCAAATAGAACTACCCTAAGAAAGTAAATGTATTCCAATTAAGTCTCCTCCCACTGACCAGTTAGGAGAGAGACTAAGTACAGAAAGCAGAGATAAAATACCCTCATTGGCACTGCTGCCCAGCTGCCCAGAGGCCCACTCTGATCTTTGGTCATGTGGGTCACTTCGTGTTGAAGAGCTGGTGCATTTTATACATCAAATGCCACAGTTTGCTTCTTAAGACCCACTCTGCTTTTGTGGTCAATTACAAGCGAGCGCCACCATCAAAGCATGCCTAAGAACTTGGCCAACTCACCCACCCCGAGTGAAGGTCTGAGAATGTTCCCAAGGACAAGTGCCACCTGGGGACACTGTTCTCTGTGATAACAAGCCATGGGAGATGAAGGGCAAAATGAAACCTCAGTAAGCAGCCCAGGAGGTTTCATGGTCCAGTGGGCATCATTCTCCTCTGATATTACCCACCACTGACGCTTAGCAGTGCATGTGTGTGTGCATGCTAAGTTGCTTCAGTCGTGCCTCTTTCCAGCCTGATGGACTGTAGCCCGCCAGGCTCCTCTGCCCATGGGATTCTCAAGAATACTGGAGTGGGTTGCCATGCCCTCCTCCAAGGGATCTTCCCAACCCAAGGATTGAACCCGAACCAATCCCACAGTTTATTGTCTGTAAGCATCTTCTGGGTGCAAGCAGTGACAAGTTTAAAAATACAGACTTGTGAAGGGATTGTCTGTAATAACTGCCTTATTCTGTGTATGCAAAAATAAAGTTTATTCTTAAGTTCTGATGAGAAACCATCAGAGTCTCCTGGCGAGCTGGGAGTCTACACTCAACCCTAGGCTGCGAACACATTTCCTGGAGCGGCTTCTCTGAGAGCAGTGTCCCGCCAGTTTGGGAATAATGCCGAGTCTGTCTGTTTTCCTAATCTGGCCAGTGACCCAAGGACAGTTCAGGCAACAGTTTAGTGGACGTTTGCAGAAAAGCTCAAATGGTAACAGCTGGGAAAGGCTGTGGGAAAAGTTGCTAACTTCCTTCAAGAGAGAATCTAGAACATAAGTAAGAGCTGGGAAGTAGTGAGAGAACGCTGAGTTTAGGAAGTATTAATATACTGTACTGAGACAAGAGGTTTTTAAGACACAGCCACTTAAAGACAAAGGAGGGACCATATTCTCGTTTCTTCACCACTGCTTAGACTCTGGTCAGAGAAAAACAGACTCTTACACTGCTGGACGACGAACACCCTCATTCCACAGTGACAACAAATGCTTCCCACAAGCCAGGAAACAGGCTAGTGCAAATTTAAAATAAATACACATTTAAGCCCTACCCCATTATTAGCCCCGCTGAACAGTTCAAGGACGCGAGGTCACACAGCCACTAAGTGTGCTTACCATTAAGCATTCGTTAAAATACCTGAAGTGCTCCACACACTTCAGGCTTTAAAACCACTGGGTAGGTTTTAATTCTGATACTTTCAACAGGGAAGACCATGACCAAAGGTGAATCATGCAGAGTATTTAAGAGATTTGGAGTGAGGATTTGCGTGTGTGGCAAAAACCAAGAACCATTCAGTTACCCTAAGGCTTAGAGGCATAGCATGCAAGAGAGAAGTTTTATAAGCCTTCTGTTTAACAGCCAGAATTTTTATATCAGCCAAAAAAAGTATGTTTCCAGAGCAGAATAAAAAAAAATGGTCGGGAAATTAATTCAATTGTACGTGAGGAGGGACTTAAGAGAAATACTGCCATTAAGAGTGGATAAGCCCTCCAATTATAGCCTGCGCTCACTTAGGGAAGTAGTTAGGGCCAGTTCATTATTCAAATCTACATGAAATGTACATTAGAAATCAGAATGAGTGGCCTCCACTTTGATGAAAGGGTTGAACTTTCTCGCTCCAAGCTCTATGCATGACGGCCACCGGCCACAGAGCTCGGACCCCCTCGGGGAGGGACGGCCACCGGCCACGGAGCTCGGACCCCCTCGGGGAGGGACGGCCAGCGGCCACGGAGCTGGGTCCCCCTCGGGGAGGGACGGCCAGCGGCCATGGAGCTGGATCCCCCTCGGGGAGGGACGGCCAGCGGCCATGGAGCTGGGTCCCCCTCGGGAAGCTCAGCTGCCTGGACCCCACAACAAGATGAGCCAGAGTTCCTGGTACTCAAGGACTGTGCTTGCTGGAGGGGAGCCGCACCACTCAGAGTGTCTGGCTAGAAACTGAAAGCACAGTCAAAAACCATCTTGCTTTTTGGAGGAAAAATAAGAAGAGTTTGTGTGTCACCGAACACTGGCCACTGGCCACCTTCTGTTGGTTCTGGGTGGCTAGTGCTATAGAGATGCAGGCCCTCCCCAAGCCCCGGGAGGAGGGACGTGGGGCTGAACAGCCTCTCTGACTGTTGGGTTATCCAGTTCTAGTACTCCGGGTCCAAAGCCACTATAAACTGTTCTGTTAGAATAATGTCCCTTCTATACCAGCAGAACCACTTGCCCAAAGCCAAGTCAAAAGCAAATCAAGATCCAAACAGGAACAGTAACAACTACTTTAGTCACAACTCTGTGAGTCTGTACCTATTATTGGAGAATAAGTCACCATAAGGCACCTTTATTCCGACAGGCCAGGTTGATACTTGAACTACTAATCATATTAAAATGAGAATGAAGTTAATACAATCATCTATTTAGGCCTTAATGCCACTGCGGACATTAAAAAGATGAGGCCTTCAGTAAGTCATGAATTGAGACAAAATCCCATTACCACAGGGCAGCTACTTCTGTCCTCAACTCTCTTAAGATGAGTTTTGTATCAGGAGATGGTGAAGAAAAAACAGAAACACCAGGAGGGTTTTATACCCTTTATTATAAATAATACCCTTTATTATTATTACACCCTTTATTTCAGCTTCCTGAATACATGATCTCTCAGCAAGAATGTAATGTACCATACTCTCTCTGATGAGAATTTGAATCTTGATATCAAGATCCCACACTGCAACTACTCATGAAAAAAAAAATCTATTTTGAAAATAAAAAAAAAGTGGGGCTTCCCAAAGACACCTGTCTGTGGCAAACATATGGATCCAATTCAAGTGTATCTTTGAGCATCTCTGATTTACAAACACTCTGGGCCTTAGTGTAACTTTCATAGCTCATCGATCTTCAATCTGTATACAGTTTCAGTATATCGTATTTGGCTGTCATCCTTTTGGCATTTTCTTCACTAAAAATGTATCTCAGTCTCTCTCTGTCCTTCATGAGCTTGACATTTTTGAAAAGCTCAGGGAACTAGTATTGGATAGTGTTTGGGTTATCTGTACTATGGTAATACAAGACAGTGTCTTTGACAAAAGAGCATTATATGTGTAACTTACTTTCCTGTGTTTCAGAAAAATCTTTAAGGAAAGTGATAAAGTCAGGGAAGGGAGCAAGATGGATAAAACAACTGCTAAAATAACACTTTGGGGGGGCAGGTGAAGACTATGTGGTGTTAGTGCTGTTTTTTGCAACTATTTTAAAAACCAGAAATTATTTCAAAATAGAGTTTGAAAAAATAATGCTGGTCAGGTTTAGGCCCAAGAATACAATGAATTTAATGTGTTAAGGAGATTTTCATGTAGTAAAAGGAGAAAGGTGTCCAAACTGAATTCTGTGTCGCCTTTTCTGTGAACGACCATTCACTCATTCAGGGGAAGAGTCAGGCAAATGCTGTAAGGCACTGCCACAGGGTCTTAGAGCGAAAACAATAAATGAAAGGGGAAATGTTCTGAATATATTTAATGGAAAAAAGTAGCATACTCACTGTCCAACCCAGAATGGCTGATTGTCGTTAATGAGAAGGATTTTGTCAGTGGAGAAGAAATGGCTGATGTACAGTAGTTAAATCCCTGTTGTTTAGATCTGTGACATGTCTGTGAAAGAAATAAAGGTAAAACAGTTCTCAGTTCATGCTCTTATATTTCTAGGTTAGTACAAAACTTGACATTCCAACTCAGCAGAAGGAAATAAGGCAGTACACAGAGGAAAAGACCACAAGCTTTGTAGGCCACAAAACAGCTGCTCAACTTCAGAGAAACAATTGAGCTTTTCTGAGCCTCAGTGTTCTTATCTGTAAAATGGGAACAGTTAGAGTACCTACTGCTTATGGACATTTCGTATCCTTCCTAAGAGGGACATGTAAGGATGTCTCAAACTTCGTAAGCACTTAATACATGTCTACTGAATGCGCAGTCAGATAAAAATAACTTCACTGGAAATATCAGACTATGTATAGTGCTTGCCTTTCGAAAATTTAAATATCATGTACAGATATAATAGGATACCAGTAATATCATTCTGGGTCATGTATGGATGTGACAGCTGGACTGTGAAGAAAGCTGAGCACCGAGAAATTGATGCTTTTGAACTGTGGTGTTAGAGAAGACTCTTGAGAGTCTCTTGGACTGCCAGGAGATCCAACCAGTCCATACTAAAGGAGATCAGTCCTGGGTGTTCATTGGAAGGACTGATGCTGAAGCTGAAACTCCAGTACTTTGACCACCTCATGCGAAGAGTTGACTCACTGGAAAAGACCCTGATGCTGGGAGGGATTGGGGGCAGGAGGAGATGGGAACAACAGAGGATGAGATGGCTGGATGGCATCACTGACTCGATAGGCATGAGTCTGAGTAAACTCCAGGTGTTGGTGATGGACAGGGAGGCCTGGTGTGCTGCGATTCATGGGGTTGCAAAGAGCTGGACACAACTGAGTGACTAACTGAACTGAATATCATTCTGATGTTAAAGAGTTAGAAACAGAGATACAAATAGAAAAGGTTTTAAGATCACAAGCAAAGTAGGCTCTTCATCTGGATAGAAACCTAAATCGTTTTCACTTCCTCTTCTGAGATTAAACAGATTATATGTGAACATGTGGATGACTGCAACTCCCTTGGTAAATTCACAGCCAATTCAGGGCTGTGTAATCAGACCCGCTGCAGAAGAGCCTGCAACAAAACCCATTTCCGGTGATGGTGGGACTCCTCTTGCTTTGCTTGGAGAGAGGCCATCCTAATTGCTAAGTAACTTTAATTACCATAAATCCCTTCCCTTCCTAGCAGTCTGAAATCTGTATGTGCTGAAAGGGAAGCAATGAAAATCCGTTACTAGGGTGAACTTGACTCAGTTACACCAAAGACTTCTCATTATTTAGAGCCTGTTCCACGGGTAACCATGGAGTCTGAGACAAACAGTTGCTATGTTTCGAATACAACGGTGAGGTCTACAAAATGACGTCAGCTGAAAGGCAGAGACCTTCAGCAGGAAGCTGGCTGCTGGCGACTTGTGCGCGTCAGAGATACGAGCGGCTCAAACATCCACTCTGAGGCTGTGCACGGGACGGAAGACGGGTGAGCAGAGCCCCCGGCAGGCTGAGCACAGCGGCAGGGGCAGCGCTTCGTCTCGGCAGGCTCAGCAAGGCCACTCACACAGACGGCCGCCTCTCAGACTCCCAGGGGCGTCCGTGCAGAAGGCCATGCATAAACACGACGGAGAAAACTGCAACGCCCTCACTTCCGCATCAAGTGGCGTCTACTTCAAAGTAACAGTGAGACTGAACGTCTGCCATTCTGAGTTTAATACTGCTCAGCTGAGTTACGGGGCCTTAGGCAAATCACTTAAATGGGCTTGACTTTCTCACACACAAAGGCTTAAGCAGATTCTGAGGGGATTTACTGGCTCTAAGTAAACTCAAGTTTTGGTATTTTACCTGGTCCTACAAGTGATTTCCAAAGGACTCTCTACACATAAAATGCAACATGTTTTTCAGACGAATTTGTCAGAGATGCTCTCTGTAGTCACCAAATTTATTGTTTCCTATTTTCCCCTCTTTTCCTGTTACCACTGGGCTGAATAAATAGACACCATCTACTTTAATAACTATATTCTCCATATTCTCGTTATTTTTCTCAACTTCCAAGAAGCCACGAAGAGGGGACAAAAGGAGGCAAAATTCCTTTAGGCCTTCAATTTCATTTCCCTTAGACCTTCACATGACCATAATTGATATATTCATTACTAAGGTAATCACGTAGTGCTAGATTTAAAATATTTGGTCACATCATTGCTACATAGCAGGATGTAATAAAAAACTAGATTTCTACACAAAACCTTAGTCACTGATTCGAAGAACAGGTTATTTAAATTTCTGTTTGCTAAAAATAAAATAAAATAAAATAAATTTCTGTTTGTTTAGTTTGAAACGATGCCTTACACTTCTACCTAAAATGAAAGTCACCTACTCAGAGACTGGCATTTTAACTTTCTTGCTTAATTAGAAAAAATTTCACTTCGAAGTGTATCTCAGAATACTCTCAGAAGTTCATCCAGGTGTTAGTTTTAAAATTAATACCTTCTTAAAAGTTTGCTTTGCTGAAATATTTAAATGTATGCAGATTAACTGTATTCTTTAATTAGCATTGGGCTTCCCTGATAGTTCAGTTGGTAAAGAATCTGCCTGCAACGCAGGAGACCCCAGTTTAATTCCTTGGTCGGGAAGATGTGCTGGAGAAGGGATAGGCTACCCACTCCAGTATTCTTGGGCTTCCCTTGTGGCTCAGCTGGTAAAGAATCCACGGGCAATGCAGGAGACCTTGGTTTGATCCCTGGGTTGGGAAGATCCCCTGGAGACGGGAAGGGCTACCCACTCCAGTATTCTGGCCTGGAGAATTCCATGGACTGTATAGTCCATGGGATCGCAACGAATCGGACATGACTGAGCAACTTTCATTTTCAAGTAGCATTAAGTGCTAGAAACTGCTGTTTGCAACACTGAGTATATGCGTAATTGTAGCTACTAACCTTATGTGAACATTTAAGTCTTGCCTTCTTTGTTCCTAATATGAGGAGGTATTTAGAGAAAAGAAACCAATCCCCCCCTCCAAATGAGCAACATACACCTCTCTCAGCCTTACCTGCTGATTAAACATTCTATGTTCCCTCTGGCCTGATTCAAGATCCTCTTCTGAAAGCGACACCAGAGAGTCACCCCTTTCCTGGCCACTGAAAGGGTGCCTGAGTTCTTTGGTGTTTGAAGAGCTTCCTTCAAGAGATGAGGACGGCTTGTTTCCAATAACAGCTCCTCCTGTCAAGCCTTCTAGACTGAAACTGAACACAAGACACGAGAGTTAATTCATTCTGAGACTCAGAAAGGCAGGAGGGTACAAAGCCCCTGCACTTTTGTCTCCCCTGCCTCTAACTTTCTGTCACCCAGCAAAACCGTCTGCAAGGGCCTGGCCAAATGAATGCCCCCTACCCTTCCCCCTGGATCTTGGTCGGCTGAGAAATATAAAAAAACCTCATTCAATTTACTCAAATGTTGAACTACTTCAAGCCATTTTCTCAGACATTTTTCAATATACCATATGGATAGACCATATTATCTATAGGTCTTTTATTTTTTTTTTTTACCCTTGATCTGATGTGATCAATTTTTGTCAGAATCTGAAGCCTGACGATGCCAAAGAATTAAATAGCACAGAGAAAATACGAACATTAAGTGAGCTTCTGGAGGAAAATAGGGAAGATCCAGACTTGCCCTTGCAGCTGTCAAGTGGACCTTTGTAACTTCACATTCGACTGCAATCCAGGTAACATTTGTAACTTCACGTTCCATGACAGTCTAGGTGACCTCTGTAACTTCACAGGCATGCATCCACCCCAGAAACCCCACATCACACAGGCGCGTTACCATCTGTGCACACCTGCCCCGACAAGCACCGCTTTGGCAGGTTTCCTGAGAATGGTTAGTTGCAGACAGGCACATGGGACACCATAAAGGGCAAAAGTTGAAAGGTGTCTAAGAGAGGTTTAATTTCTTTTTCCTTGATACTGACAAAGTGGGAGGAAAAAAGCAAACTTAAGGTTTGGTATGGAAAATGGGACCCCTGGAATAAAGACTGCAGAGTGAGAAGCATTTTCTGTGAGGAGGAGGCTATAGAGAGAGGTTAGCCAGCTTTCATCCTTGGGGATGCTAGCCACAATAAATCACGTGTGTTACCACTGGATCTCAGAATGCAGGGCGAGAGCACCAGGCCTTCAGTTACAAGCATGTGGAGCTGTATTTGAAGGCATAATGAAGCTCTTTTGTTATCTCTGGCTCAAAGATAACTGCTACAAAAAAAGTTCACGTATGCCGGTCTAGAAGGATTTCTATTTGCCCTTTTTCCTATGAATCACTTACTATGAACTGAAACCATATGCCTCTATAAATTAAACAATGGATTTTATTCTGATTTCAATATGATGATAGAAATCATGACTAACTCCTAGCAAATGTCTCTGTAAAACTCATTTTCAGTAGCAAGAGTAAGAAGACAGACTAATTGAAGAAGAAATTTAGTTTTCTGTTATGAATTATTTCTAAAGCCTGAGAAAGCCAGATCCTATGCTTACCACAACATTTAATCCTGAAAGTGATTAAATCTGGCAGCTTAGCTGAGAGAACATGTAATGCTGAGCAATCTGTGAGCTTAGAATCTAAAGCGATGACTGGATTTGGAAGCGTAATTAAGAAATGACTGCATCTTATCAGCTGCCTTGTGTTTGTTACTGTTTTCCTCAGGATGTGCTAATTCCTAGGAGCTGGGAATTGGGATGGATGAAAACAGAGAGAAGAGGTCTACCACAGCATGGAGACAAGCCTGTGCAGAAAACACCCAAATCTATAGCCACTTGAGACGAACAGAATGCATCGGGGACCAACATCCAGCTCCGAGGCTGCACCCCTTGAACTGGGTAGGATGCCCACAGCAGAGGCAGCAGAACACCATGCTCACAAACAAAGCAGGCCGCCATATGCATTCTAGCCACACACAAGCCAGTTCAAAGCCGAAAGCTCAGGTGCTGTGTTTTATGATTCCCCCTTTGGTGGCTGGACACGTAACAATACCATACCTTCTGTAATTAAAATCAGCGCTCAGGGCAGCAGAGTATTGCACACCAGAGGGACACCAGCTCATACTGGGGATGACATCAAAGGCAGAAACAGAAATGTTCCACCCCAGAAACCCCACATCACACAGGCGCGTTACCATCTGTGCACACCTGCCCCGACAAGCACCGCTTTGGCAGGTTTCCTGAGAATGGTTAGTTGCAGACAGGCACATGGGACACCATAAAGGGCAAAAGTTGAAAGGTGTCTAAGAGAGGTTTAATTTCTTTTTCCTTGATACTGACAAAGTGGGAGGAAAAAAGCAAACTTAAGGTTTGGTATGGAAAATGGGACCCCTGGAATAAAGACTGCAGAGTGAGAAGCATTTTCTGTGAGGAGGAGGCTATAGAGAGAGGTTAGCCAGCTTTCATCCTTGGGGATGCTAGCCACAATAAATCACGTGTGTTACCACTGGATCTCAGAATGCAGGGCGAGAGCACCAGGCCTTCAGTTACAAGCATGTGGAGCTGTATTTGAAGGCATAATGAAGCTCTTTTGTTATCTCTGGCTCAAAGATAACTGCTACAAAAAAAGTTCACGTATGCTGGTCTAGAAGGATTTCTATTTGCCCTTTTTCCTATGAATCACTTACTATGAACTGAAACCATATGCCTCTATAAATTAAACAATGGATTTTATTCTGATTTCAATATGATGATAGAAATCATGACTAACTCCTAGCAAATGTCTCTGTAAAACTCATTTTCAGTAGCAAGAGTAAGAAGACAGACTAATTGAAGAAGAAATTTAGTTTTCTGTTATGAATTATTTCTAAAGCCTGAGAAAGCCAGATCCTATGCTTACCACAACATTTAATCCTGAAAGTGATTAAATCTGGCAGCTTAGCTGAGAGAACATGTAATGCTGAGCAATCTGTGAGCTTAGAATCTAAAGCGATGACTGGATTTGGAAGCGTAATTAAGAAATGACTGCATCTTATCAGCTGCCTTGTGTTTGTTACTGTTTTCCTCAGGATGTGCTAATTCCTAGGAGCTGGGAATTGGGATGGATGAAAACAGAGAGAAGAGGTCTACCACAGCATGGAGACAAGCCTGTGCAGAAAACACCCAAATCTATAGCCACTTTAGACGAACAGAATGCATCGGGGACCAACATCCAGCTCCGAGGCTGCACCCCTTGAACTGGGTAGGATGCCCACAGCAGAGGCAGCAGAACACCATGCTCACAAACAAAGCAGGCCGCCATATGCATTCTAGCCACACACAAGCCAGTTCAAAGCCGAAAGCTCAGGTGCTGTGTTTTATGATTCCCCCTTTGGTGGCTGGACACGTAACAATACCATACCTTCTGTAATTAAAATCAGCGCTCAGGGCAGCAGAGTATTGCACACCAGAGGGACACCAGCTCATACTGGGGATGACATCAAAGGCAGAAACAGAAATGGAAGAGGAAACAGGGATGGGATTATTGGGTTTAAAAAGAAGGGACACAGTTAGAGACAGATGGATTTTTCTGATCATCAAAAAATTAGGAATGTAACATTGATTTAGAATTTAGAAAATGGATGGAACAAAAAACACAATTCTTCTATTGATGTCCATCTACATAGTATGTTAGAAATGACTACGTGAACTCTTTACAGGTTAACAAGTTCAGTGTTGGAAACCCCAGAATTCCTCCTAGCAAATCCTGAACAGAGTACCCACACTCCCTGAGGCTTCCTGGCTGGGCATGCTCACAGCAGTGTTTCAACTCCACTACTAAGGACACACTCTCTATACTGCCCACCACTCCTCCACCCATTTAGGCTAGGATGCTAAAGGTAAAGTATATAACAACGGTCCTGTTTCCCTGTATTTTAATAATGAAGGGATGTCTTTCCTTGAAAAGGAATTTTATAGTACTGACCAAAGGGTCCCCTAATTTCTTGTGGAAAATCTATTTTCCCACAAGATTAAAAAAATAAAAATCCATTTGGTCATCTATTTCCTTGACTATCTCAGCACTTACATTTATTCTCATGCAGTAGGAACAGAAAATCTGGGGTTGGAAATGGTAAGTGAACATAAGCAGACAAAAAATAACCAACTCAGAGTATCAGGTACTCTGCAAAAGGAGCTGCAACCACAGGTCAGGACTTTTGATTAATAAAAGCCACTATTAAAAAAAAATACACTGCTACTTAAAAAAAATAAAAAATACACTGCTACTTTTTCAGCCTTAAAGATCTAAGCGACATGCTTTTGTTTTCGGAAGGGAGATAACAATAAAACTGATCTGCTCCCTGAAACTTCAATGGGAAGACCTGCAGACACCAAAAAAACCAACCAACAAACAAAAAGAAAGCTAAAAAAACAATACAAACAAACACCGCCCCCCCCAAATAAAAACCACCTTGTCTTGAATATACACAGCTGATAACTTTGGGCTGACAAGTGGAAGGTTTTGATAGACGAAAAAAGACAAGGAAAATGACAGGAAAATAAATATGAGCTAACCCTGCGGATCTTCTAAAAGTAAATCTTTAAAATAATACCATAAAAATAAATTAAAAGGTAAGACATTTTAAATCAGATTGTATTAAACTAGTACAAAGTTCACAAGTACAAAAGCAGAGAATGGAAGTACACAGCTTAGACATGTCTCTACAAGTCTACTAAGCAAGACCAGACTGACTTAGGGTTTACGTGTGAGGGAAGCAAGCCTTGATACAGTTTACAAATGCACATGAGATTCACAAGTCTATTCTTTGAAAATTATTAATTTTATACCTCTAAGCTGTTAGTGAAAAGGCATATTATGTCTACATGGCCAATTTACTAAGAACAGAAAGCGGAAAAAATTAGAAAGTGAATATACATGCCAATTTATTATTTACTAAACATTAAATAATGTCTTTCCATGGATTTTAAACATCCCTTTACTCAGAGACTGGGATGAGATTTAGGATCAAGAGGATGAATAACGGAGACAGCGGGAATGTCAGAAAACCCTAAGGATCCAGGGAGGAAGCTGCAGATAGTCCTAGGGTTGCAGAACCTCCTTTCACAACAGTAAGAGTATTTTTCAGAGCACCCTAATTTCCTCAATTCCTCAGCTGGGAGAGTAACATTTCATGGTTCTTTAGCTTTGAGATTTAGATAGTTCCAGATTAAAAAAAAGTATCCTGATGCCCCATCTTTTAACACTTGCTGAACTGTTTCCATTTTAGTAGCTAAGGCTTAACACAAAATTAAAAACCATAACTCTTGTTCTTCTTACAAAAATACAACAAAGGGTGAAACCGTCATTGAAGTGGCTGTGACGGCTTTGTCTACATGGTAACCTGGGCTGTATCTGGCAACGGGTCATCTTCCAGGGTTATTCAGGGCATGTTTTTAATAAGTTCATATTGAAGAGTTTAAAGAACAGTCAGACAAATAAATCTCTAAAGGTTTTAGATATGTCTACTGAAAAAGGCCTTTAATAACTTGTTGTCCTGGAGACAAATGTAACCAGGCTTATGATTATCTGAGATTCATGACAACACTGTGCTTGAGTTCAACTGTGTGCCTAAAATCTGAAATTAAAGGAAACACCCACTTAAAAAGACCAGGTAGGCAACAAAGATCATTATCCATCCACTTCCTAAAAAGACAGCCTCAGCTAATAATTTAAAATATCTCTTTACAAGTATCTCCTAATATGAGACACTAACCACAATCAAACCATCATTTTCAGATTTCTAGATTTTTTTCAAAAACTGGAAAAGTCACAAATGACTCCTGTACAGGAAATGTACTGATAAAACAAAAGCTCAGCATTTGAAAAAACTAAAGCAAATCAGTACTTTCCGACTAAAAATGACTTTTCAGCTGATAAATTACTGCAATTTTTAGCTTCAAAATTTTATGTGACCAAAAATCAGTATGGGATTGAAAGACTGAGAGGAGCCCTGAGAAATCAGGAGCACATCAGCAGTGGACGGGAGACTCCCAGGTGGCTGAAGAAGAAAGGCTTTCATCACATTATTGAAGAACGCGCTGAAAATAGTTTAGGGCCTGGTCCACGAGCACACTTCTATTTTCGGTTCTTCCTCTCCCCCTTTTCTTGGGAAAGAAAGAAAAAGTACTCCCCAGGGTCCATTACCTATGCACAACAGACACTTCTTAGACTCCTCCTTAGATAAAGCTGGGGAGACCCTACTATCAAAGTGATCTGAACACCAAAAAAAAAAACAAAATGGAAAAAATATTTAACTTTTTTTTTTTAAATAAAAGTAGAACAGGAAAAAACTTCAAACTCGAGAAACCATTTCATACAGGATGGACATTAGCAATTAGTAAGTACCTGTATTTTATTTGTCTGAAGCAGACAGGACTTATTTAAAATTAGACTGTTTAATCGTGGATGAAGCAGAATGAGATGCTTGTTAGTAAAATAAGCTCAGAGGCAAACAGTTAGTCCATCAAGTTAGTGAACTCTGTACCTTCTCCTATGAATGGGAGGTCTCCTGACAACATCCCCAAGAACTCGCATTGAACTGAAAATGAATGGTGGAAGAGGTCAGTGTCCAGGTGAAACAAAATGGATACAAACGCATGAAACATACAAACATCACACTAGGAAGAGACAATCAGCAAAGAGAAATGGTTTGGGTGTAAGGGAATGAAAGAACGTGGAATAAGGAAAACATCATCACCAAAAAGGCCTGATAATCTCTGAGCAGGGCTACTTTAACTCCTTGGAGCATGGAGGGGACAATCAGGTGACCAGGAATGAGGTTTATTAAGTTATAAAAGCAGAAGGACTTTTTATAAAGGCCATGCAAGAATAACTTTAACAGGGTTTTCTTAAAGACTTTAAAATTCAGGTAATTCTCTATGCAGGTAATACTGTAAGAATTAAACTGATGAAAATGACCCCTGACTCTCATTCCATTATCTCTAGAGGTACTAGGACAGTGGTACCAGGCAATTCTGAATGATAACTGCAAATAGGAGAGTCCATGATATTATATAGGTTGAAAATACAAGCAATTTAGGTGAAAGGGTTCTAATTGTAGCTCTATCCTAAAATCATCATGTAATCTTGGGCAAATCTTTTAATCTGAGCTTCAATATCCTCACTGGAGCAACATGATGCATACAGTCACATCTAGCTTGGAAATTAAAGTCATGGCAAAGGGATCCATCATGGTTTATAAAGGAAAACAGATTCCATATAAAAGGAATCCTCCTTTCTCAATGTTGTTGTCATTTAGGACACGTGTATCCTGTCAGGCAGATTCTCTTGCCTCAGGAAGGGAATTCTGCCTGTAGGGATCATTTTCCCATCCTTATTTTCCCATATGAATGCTTAAAAAAAAAAAAAAAATTACAGCTTGAACAAAGCTGGGAAGGAAAGCTTTTACAAACTGCTTTTTACATAAGCTAGGATTTCAAAGACATAAAAACTGCCCATCAGATAGAGCAACGCTTATGTTATTTTTAAGGTTTGCATCCTGAACTGTATCCCAGAATAAAATGGAGTTGTAGAAAGACTGCTCGACCAGGAGACTGGAAACCTGGATTCCACTGACATTGTGTAAATGGTTTAAACTACTTACGTAGTCTCAGCTGCAAAAATGGGGATGCCACCTGACTCATGAAGAGGATGGGAAAATTACATGAGACAATGTGTTATTACAGGAATCTAAAAGGATAGCAAATCAGGAGGCTGTAAGGTACCATATGAAGGTAGGACTTCTTTCACCTTGGGGCCTCCAGAACCTAGAAATGCCTGCTGTGCTTAATACATGTTGGCCGAATAAAAAAATACATGAGTGAGTGAATGTAATCAGATTACATGTACTTACAGCTATGAAATCTAGGCCAAAATATTAGGAGGTCAAGGAATTTTAAAAAAGCAAACAAGCCAGTAACTGCTCCAGGTAAACTGTTGATATCAGTTGTTTTACAATGGTCAGCCTCCTCCCCTGGCTGTTTGTCCTCATTTAGAAAATAGCCTTGGAGTAGGCACACTTTTACACATATAGTAGGCATCATGGCACCTGTTCTTTAAACTTAAATTCACCTAGGCAGCCTATGGTTAGAAACCAAATCTACATTTTCATACAGCTTGCTTGGGAAACTGAGAGTATGAGACTCACACAAGAGACCCCCAGACTGAATGATACCTGGAAAAACAGTAACAATTTAATAATTATTATGATCTCTTTAACAGTTAAGTACTGGTAATTTAGATTTTATCAAAACTTTCTAAACTAGAAACAGATGGCAAATCCTATGAAGCACTGTGAAAAACTTGTGTTGAGACTGTAAGATTTCAAGTTTATTTTTTAATTCAAAATTGACATGAAACTATTCCCTTCAAATTTTCTAACCTTTCAATATCATGAACAAATCTGGCCTAAACAAACGGTACACCAGTTAATGCTACACCAGTGTTTAACCCACTATGTAACTTACATATTTCATTGTAATCTTTACTCTTACACTCTGAAAGGCAGGTGTTTTACAGATGAGAAAATTAAAGCTCAGAAGGGTCAGGTAACTTGCCCAAGGTTACCCAAGTAGTAAGTTTCAGAGCTGGAGTTGGAACACAGATTTTCCTGATTCCAAAGCCTATATTCTTTCTTCTATACCATGGTATCTCCTGAAAACTTTCACGAATGGTAACACCAAATCGAGAGCAAGCAGACACTGAGAGGAGACGAACGGCCTGCCGCCTCACCTCCGGTGGTTCATTTCTGCGTCGCTGGCTGCGTTCTTCCCGGGACCCCAGCTGTGCCTCCGGAAAGGGGACAGAGAGCGCATGGAGCTCCGCAGGACAGAGCAGCTCGCGGGCACCTCGGTGATGCTGTCCATCTCCTCCTCCTCCATCTCACCCGAGCCGGCGGGCTCGCTCTCGCTCTCTCGACCCTCAGCTCCCAGCCCATGGCTGTAGAAGCCGTTGAGACACTGCGGGTCTCGGGACCTGTTCAAACTGCAAACCTGGGGGAGGGACACATCACTGCCGTGAGACGAATGCTGGTCCAGGGACGCCGTGTCATCGGTGGAGGAACTGGATCCAGTGACATCGCAGGCCAGCTGCTCCTCCTCGGGCTGCAGTGGAGAGAAAGCACGAATGGTCAGAAACAGCAGGACCGAGAGGCCTCAGCCACTCTCCACTGAGTCAGTGCCTTTACAGGGGGTGGAGAGGCAACATCACAGCTGGCTTCAAACAGCTTGCTTTCTTAAAGCACAATCAGAGATGGATTCAAACCGCCTCCAGTCAAGGTTTATACTTGGTTTATATACAAGTATATAAAGTTTATATACAAGTATATATACTTGGTATATACAAGGTTTATATCCAGGATTATACTTTTTCTACACTAGAGGTGCAAAATGGGAAATATATTGTCTTCCCTTTCTTGCAGAGGAAAAGATCTAATTCCGGTCAGTTATTTTCAGTCAATACTATCAACTGAAATGAAGGGAACCTATTCTGAGGTTTCTGATGTATGAAAACTCTAAATCCATACCATGTAAAGTTAATTTTTTTTTACAAGCTTTAACTAAAAACAAGGTAGTGTGCTTGACTATAACAGTGATACACAGAAGTTTATATTCAAAAAGCAAGTCTATTTTCAGTGGCATTTTCAAAAATGCAGAACAGCTTATGATCCCACCTAAAGTCTGCCACAAATGTCCAAATTCTGGGCCACAAATACCTAAATGCAAGAAATTTATCCCCCCTTTTTTCCTTTAACTGAGTACTGGCTGAGTTTTATCAAGCCAAACTGTACCTAAAATAATCATCCTCTGCAGTCTTTGATAAAGTGATGGTGCTCTTTCCCTGGCCAACTTCTAAAGCCTACCAGGAATTGTGTCATTCTGATCCAGCAGACTGACAATCTCTACCCGCTGAAAAGCACCAGAACACATTATGTGATGTGTGAGGGAAAGATGAGCGTTGTGGCATTAAAAAAATAAGATTACCCAGAATATAAGTCAAGTGTCTAAAAGACACATGCTCACACTCTCAGCTACACAGGCGGGCACTGTACTGTCTTTGTATCTTTCTTGTGCATTCTTACGGGATAGGGAGCAGGAAACAGAAAGAGACTGTGATTCCGTCCCCCGCCCCCTTCTTCAGAGTATTTCCCTAATTTGCCAATCTACTTAGTTTTAATTAGGAGTAAAGAAACTTATAGTTCTTCAAAAGAGATTTCAAAAATTATAGAAACTCATGAGCCCTTTTAGTCTTGAAACAGAAAATAACTTCTATACTAAAGAGGCTGCCTCTTTAAAGGCTTAACAAAACACTTCAAAAGCACTCTACCTTCTCAAAGCAATCTTTATGCGCTCGGGGCTGGATCTCACCAGCTCATGAGGTTCTTCTTCCTACTCTCTAGAATCTAGTTCCCCAGCTTAACTGCTCTTTAAACAAGCAGTGAGGGATGAGACTGAGGGAGATGCAAGGCGCTGGAGAGTCAGAACTGTGAGGCCCAGACTGTCTCCTGGGCTCCCCCAAAGGCAAAGGCAAGATCTGAACGCAAGCTAATTCCAACTTTTAAAAACGCCCTGCTCTATTACTATCTTCATCACTTAAAAAACAAAAACAAAAAGACTCTGTAAGAAATAAGATCTCAAAGTATGTATCAGAAGTCCTCAGTGTTCCTTTCAACTGGGCCACACTGGGCCATATATTTTTATTTTATAGTAAAATGAAACTATACTGAGTAGATTCTAAAATACAGTAAGTTTTGGTTTAAAATAAAATTGTCAATGACTCCTTTCAAGTTAGTGAGGAGTGACCTGAGCATCCTACAGTTTCTATTCCTGGGGCCACACTCCATCCAGAGGAAGAATATAAATGGTCATGAATAGCAACTTCAGAAGACACTTATAGGATGTCTTAGCTTTTTCACTGGAATGGGTTGAATAGTGTCCTCCTCAAATTCACATCCTTCTCAGAATGTGACCTTATTTGGTTGGGTCTTTGCAAATGTTGTTCATTAAGATGAGGTCATACTTCACATGAGAATATTTCCTGAATCCCAAAGGAGTAGATTCCTTGTAAGAAGACAGAGCAGCCCCTCGGATACATGGCTTTTAGGACCCCCTGCCTCCAGAACTATGGAAGAACAGTTTTATATTGTTTCAAGCCACCAAATGTGCGGTAATTGGTTACAGCGGCCCTAGGAAACTAAAGCTGCCTAAATGTCTAATTCTCAAAGCAATATCCAGGGACAAACAGAATAGGCAACAGAAGAGAAAAATATGTGACAAGTCCGTGTTAAGATACACAAGCAAGGCTTCAAAAGAAGTTAAAGTTTCCATTTATCCATGTATCACACGTTTTTCTTACAATTTAGCTCTTCCCAGTGCGGAAATGACTTGCAGATGGGAAAGCAGGTACTTTTCTCTAACAAGAAGAAACCTGCCTAGCATATATCGTCAGCGTGGTCTTATCCCCGGTGTGTGCTTTTAACTCTGATCTTAATTTTTAAAAAAACAAAACCACAAGCTAAAAGACAGGGAGTTGTTTTGTTTTGCTTTTCATAGTAACTGCATGATTTCTTTAGTTTTGCATTCCTGATTCTGATTTAAGAATGAGGTTCAGACATTATAATATTCTTACACTCAAGTATTTTCATGAGCCGGCAGTTGCAACTTGAAAATGGAAAAACAGGACAAATACAGAAGTTACGAGAGAGCTCATTTATTAAGTACTTGAGGCAAATGGTTTTAACTTTAGATTGAATCTAAAGAAGGCTATAATACTCTTCTCCAGGTTTGTGTTTTTTTTTTTCCTTTAGTGTTCTCAAGAGTTTCCCAACTTCATCACATCCTTATACTACTTTGCAGACTAGAAAGCAGTCAGTGGCGTAATGAGAAACCAAACCTGGAATATGGCCATGGCCCTTCTACAGCGAGGTATGTGTCTGGGGATGAGCCACGTGATAATCTTCAGAGCTAAAGAAGTCAGAAATTAATGTAAGGTCTGTGTACAAACACTAACTATTTTAATCATGGATAATAGAGGAAAAAAGAAAAACAGGGTTTGTTTGTTTAACTTTTGGGGTTTTTTCTTTTTTGCAATGTTCCCTTTCCAGTCTCTGAATGTGCAGTGCTAAAGCTCTCAGAGAAAGCTGCCAAAAAGCAGATGGGAGAGGTACGACTTACACTATTCCTCTCCCTTCTCAGAAAAGTACCAGGTCTTGGGGAATGCTGTTTTTGTATTTCTATAAATTAGAAACCATTCCTGGTTTCCAACACAGAACAGAATGCTCCATGCTTAGCAGTTAAGCCCCTCTAAGAGTTTGAGCTGGTCTTTCTTTCTTTAGAGAGGTCCTCTTTCTTAGAACACCTGCTAGTTACATGACTTTCAAGACTCAGGACATTATTCCTGATGGTCTGGAGGAATGGTGCATGGGATCAGTTTAACTAACAAATATTTTAAAACTTAGTTTTGAATCCATGTCAATCAAATGTACCAGTTAAACTGACCCACGGCACCATTCCTCCTGAGAGTATCAGGACGGATCAATCAGGAATAATATCCCAAGGCCCACACATATACACACACACATATATTTATATGGACTAAATATTACATTTAAATACATAAGTATTTATATATAAATACAGTGAATATATAAGAATGAAAATACGTGTATATATATATTAGTGCTAAAGCTCTCAGAGAAAGCTGCCAAAAAGCAGATGGGAGAGGTACGACTTACACTATTCCTCTCCCTTCTCAGAAAAGTACCAGGTCTTGGGGAATGCTGTTTTTGTATTTCTATAAATTAGAAACCATTCCTGGTTTCCAACACAGAACAGAATGCTCCATGCTTAGCAGTTAAGCCCCTCTAAGAGTTTGAGCTGGTCTTTCTTTCTTTAGAGAGGTCCTCTTTCTTAGAACACCTGCTAGTTACATGACTTTCAAGACTCAGGACATTATTCCTGATGGTCTGGAGGAATGGTGCATGGGATCAGTTTAACTAACAAATATTTTAAAACTTGGTTTTGAATCCATGTCAATCAAATGTACCAGTTAAACTGACCCACGGCACCATTCCTCCTGAGAGTATCAGGACGGATCAATCAGGAATAATATCCCAAGGCCCACACATATACACACACACATATATTTATATGGACTAAATATTACATTTAAATACATAAGTATTTATATATAAATACAGTGAATATATAAGAATGAAAATACGTGTATATATATATTACATACTTTTTCATTTTTAGAAGCAAATGGCCAAAAACAACTGTGATGAGTATTAACTGGGTTAGGGCAGAGAAGAAGAGACTCTAAAAGGTAGACACAGGAAGGAAGGGGTGAATGGAGTCATGTATGGGCTTGGCCACCTACTCCAGTATTCTTGGCTGGAGAATCCCATGGACAGAGCAGACGGTGGGCTACAGCCCATGAGGCCACAGAGAGTCAGACACGCCTGAGCGACTAACACACACGCAGGCAAGAAAGCAAGCTTACTAGGGAAACGAAGACCATGGTCTGTACCTGAGGCTGACAGACGAACTCGTCCTCTCTGGAGTTCTCATGACTGCTTTTCCTCCTGCATATAGCAGGATGGAACACACACAGAAACTATTATAGCAGGATGGAACACACACAGAAACTATCACCTCTACCATAAGCTTCTCTTTTCTTGGGGTTAATAAAATTATGAATATCTGCAAATGGTGATCAGGCTAGAAAAACCACTAGGTGTTGGAGAGAACGCCCTCTGGGCACAGAAAGGTGTGAGGGTGGCTGAGCTTTCCAACACTGACCTTGAGGCCTCAAGGGCAGGGCTGAGCTGACAGACTGATCTGAGGACACTTAGGTTTTGCCTAATCTAAGGCCAAATAAATTAGGGAAAATAAAATTACAAAATAATTAATAAATAAAAGTTAACATAGAAGTCTAAAATAAATGATGCTTACAAAAAGCTTGAGAGAATCTATTACTTAAATATACGTGCATTATAACTATTACATAAACTTGAATGGTAATTATGTACTAGATACTCATCACTGTGAGGCTTTTACTAAGAGATTTAGATGTATGATTTCTTTTAATCCTCACAACTGTTTGATTTAGTAGCTGTTCTTATTTGCATCTGATGAGAAACCTGAGGCTCAGTAAGGTTACATAATAAACTCAAGTTTCTGAGGACAGACTCTTCTTTTGTATATTTCCTTTCTTCTCCAAGCTCTCCAGGTGATTCTAGGTTCAGCTAGGATTTATACACCTAAAATATATGATTTTTATTTGTCAATTATAACTCAATAAAGTTGGGGTGAAAGTCACTGAATGGTACCCTTGAGACCATGTACTTCATTTTATGTAAATATTATAAAAAAAATCTTACAAATACTGAATTGTAAGTATTGAGAAGTGGAGTGCATTAATATCTATAACTTTGAAGTGTATTAAAGAAATTAGATGACCTAATGGAAAGAATGAGGGACAGATGCATAATTATGTAACAAAGCAAATAATAAAAGGTTAATTGTAAAGTAAAAAAAAATTTAAAAAAAAAAAGGTTAATTGTAGAATCTAGGTGGTGGGTATTCACCGCAGAATTCTTCCCACTTTTGTTTCAAAATTTTAAAAATAAAAGTATTGGGGGAGAAAAAATGCCTGACTGGCTTTCTTAACCAGAGTTACAGCATCAGGTATGATACAGATATGTACATGGAGAGGTATAAACACTATACACACACATATATAGAAATCTAGAAATGGCCATGCATTTTGAATCTTATTACTACACCTGAAGGAATCACCCTTAACACTGCCAAAATACTAGTCCTTTAATTTTCATTCATTTATTCAAATATTCATAAATTATTATCTGTTATAGTATACTTAAGGCCCTTGGCCATGTGCCTTGAAAATAAAAGCATATATTTTAAATGCCTAGTATCTGCCAATCACTTAATCCATTTATGTGCTATACTGATGGCAAGCACTAGCCCCACTTCACAGTTCTAAAATTACAATCATTTCAATACTTGTGCATTAAGAGTTCACAGGTTTTCTAATTTGGATTCTGTAAATATATTTACTTTTATCTGAAAAAGTTTAAAAAATTTAAGGTAAATTTTTGGCTTGATGTTTAAGTACTTGAGAGCAATTGACAGCATACAAAACAAAGGATTTTCCTTTAAGAGCTAGCATGTTGGTGGAGTCACTTTGCTTTTTCTTAATCAATTGTGGATAGTATCTTATGATTGCAGGGGGTGGGGGGAAACAAGGTGTAAGGGCTTTGTCTTTGGGAAAAAGAGGCAGCAACTATTAGTATAATTCTGTGGGCTTCAATTACCTTTTGGGTAGCAGAGTGGTTCAGATCATGTATTTTATAATCACATTTTCTTTCTTAGCTTGGGCCAGAAAGAACCCTAGGATTTCTTCTCACTTTAAAAGCAAAAATTAAATTTTTATGCTACTGATCTATGGAAAAGCCAAGACCTCAGGAACCAGCAATTATCCATCAGAAAAAAACATGAAGCTCGCAACACTCACCAAAGAGTCATATTTGCCAGGAGGCCGGCATGCCAAGTGGAAACATGAGGTTAAGGTGGAAAGTTCTGACAAACACTGTGGGCTGATATTAAAGAGCTTTCTGTAAGGCTAAAGTCACACAAGTGGCTGCAGGAAGTGACCTAACGTACCACTCATGGTTCACAGAAAAGGATGGTGCAATGCCTTGCCTACAGATTAGTCTTTAGAGAAGGGAGTGTGGGAGGGCTGGAGCCTGCAGAGAGGCTCCGGGAGGGTCTGACGCTTCACAGCAAATGCTGGGTGGATGATCACAGGGGAAAGCCTCTAAGGAAGTAGCTGATGGCCTGTCTGCCACCACTGCCATGCTTTTTTTTTTTTTTTTTCATTTATTTTTATTAGTTGGCCATGCTTCTGTATAAAAGCACTGGTTACTGAAGCAGGTGCTTGGAGATTAAGAGCAAAATCAATGAGTGGATTTCAGAGTTGGGCCTAGCTACACATCTCAATTTTGTCACTTACTAGCTGAGTAATGTTGAGTCAACCTCTTTACCAACCAGAGTCTGTTTCCTCAGGGGTATAATGAGGATAAAACCACCCACCTTGCAGGGCCGCTGGGAGCATGAAATGAGATCACCTATGTAAAAAAATTCTGTTCAGTGCCTCACATAAAGTAAGCACCTTGTAAACGTTAGCCTGTCCGTCTCCTTTTCCTCTCACATGTTAACCCTTGGTTTTGTGAATGTTAGAGAAAACGTGGTTGCAAAACCTTTCCTGGTCACCAACTGCCGTGGCAGGGTGGAGACATCAAGAGAAGGACCCTCCAACCTCACCCCCGGCTGCCAGACATTCTCGTGCGAGCATGAAGAGGGGAGAGTGTCTCCGCCATTTCCAGACTTTCCGAGGAGCCCCATCACAAAATGTTGGTCAAAGTTTAGTCAGGGATTTACTTCGGCTTTTAAAAATGCTTCTGTGCTGTCGTCCTGGAAAAAACTCCTAAAATCCAGTGCTGGCCATTTTTAATGAACAAAACCTAAATGATTTTAGCAGGTTGGAATAATTAAGTAGTAAAGTAACATGTAGTCAATTCTAATTCTCCTCAGCTAGGAAAACCATTCAACTTAGAGATGGCAACATTCAGGGCAAGCTGGCATGCACCGAGGAGGTTCAAGCAAGTGTTTCTTCATGGAGGAAACTTTACAACTGGTGAAAAAGTTTTTTACTGAGAAAACTGTCACACATATATAAATGCTGAACAAATCCTCACATATCCAGGGCCCAGTGTGAGTGATTACCAGTGATTCCATCTTAAAACTGGAACTTAAGAGATAATATCTGATGTATTCACTGAAGCCTTTTGAGAGATAGGCACCTAGAGAACGGCATTCCCCTTGGGGAGAAGCAGACACTTTTAGGAGTCCTTACAGTGCAAACCTCAAATCACAGTGGAAATCACCTAAATTCTGTTGGCTAAAACAAAGAAGAGATCATACTGATGTCCTCCTCTGTAAATAACTTCAGAGAAGGATAGCTCTGCCCAGGTAGTGGACGTTTCTACTTTACTTTCCCCCTTCTACGAGGAATGATGACAGGAATGCTGAAGTCCCTGAGTCTTTCTAAGGCCCCCTGGAATGGAAGGAACACAGGAAAGGGAAAGAGGCCAGGGCAAGGGGAGGCCCAGTGGACACATGAGAGCCGCCGAGCAGGAGGGAGGGAAAGTGCAGGTCGGCTCAGAGAGGGAGAGTGTGTTTGTACCAGAGTCCCAGAAGGCCTCTGGTGCAGAGACCCAGCACCATCAGCCTGCCCTCGGGACCTGATGAGCCACTGACCCAACGCCCGCCGCTTCTCCCACGAGCTCCTCACAAGGGCGTCGGCGTGGCCGCTGGGTGTCTGCCCCTCCCCAGCTCTCTGTTAAGACAACCCACTGCAGCAAGTTAATATACCATGCGCTGACCCGGCTATGGGAAAGGCCTCTATTCTTGGGAGACAAAACAGACCTCGCGGCAACTAGACGCAAACCTAAGTTAAGAGAGCGCGTCTTGGAGCCTCAAACACTATGAAAATGTGAAGTGACTCATGTGGATGGGTGTGGCTTTCCACCAGGGAGAAAGCTGGATTCCCGAGCAGAGGTCTAGAAAGATCCAAGTAAGCAGGCAATGAGAAGGGCTGACGTCACCAAGCTCAGCCGTGAGCTTCAGGCCTGAACACATTAACCAGCCAGGACTCTGTGGTAAGCTTATTCACATGACGTCTTACAGTCCATCCCGCGGTCCTTCCTACCCCCTGAGAAGCAGTCACCGTCATCTGACTTCTAATTCACTTGACAGGAATGCCCATTTCTTTAGGCCTCAATGTGAGTTTCACAACCTGCATGGAACCAGCCACGATTCTATAGAAAAGAAAGTAGTCAAGGCCTCTTTCTAAGGCCCGGCCACCTGGAGCTGCATTCTTCAAAAGGGAGCCTTTACAAGTCTCTGAGATCGTGTAAGAGACGAAGGCTAGCCAGAGGCGCACACTGAGGCCAGCGGTACCTTGGAGAAGACAATGCTGTCCACGTCTTCACTGGGTGAGTGAAAAAGGTCAGAATCACTCCCAGATTCTCTTTTAAGGACATCTGGTTTTGAGGCACACTCTCGGCCCAGTCCAACATCCAGGAAGCTGTCACATTCTGAAAAAGAAAATCCATTCAACCACTGCTTAAAAAAAAAAAATCAGTCTCTTTTCATTCCAGCCATCAGCCTTTTAAATCGATAGACTACCCAATCTCCCTCTCTTCCTATATTTTTTCTATTAAAAAAAAATGGATTATTTTAATTGGAGGCTAATAACTTTACAATATAGTAGTGTTTTTTGCCATACATTGACATGAATCAGCCATGGGTGTACATGCGTCCCCCATCCTGAACCCCCCTCCCACCTCCCTGCCCATCCCATCCCTCAGGGTCAGCCCAGTGCACCAGCCCTGAGCGTCCTGTCTCACGCATCCAACCTGGACTGGCGATCTGTTTCACATATGATAATATACACGTTTCAATTAAAAAGCTGTAAAGGAGATAAATTTAGTGGCTTTCAATTCTCTGTTGATAACCTGAGTCTGTCATATAAATCATGGGCACAGAAATGCAAACAACAGTGATTTAGAACTATAATAACACCTATGTATTTAAACATACATCTTTTCCTCTTGGTAGTTAGAGAATTTATTTATTTTGCTACCAAACTCTAAAGTTCTTCGTTAGGAAACTATGTGATAGGGTGTGCGGGCAATTTCTGTTTTGAGACTTAAGTTCTTTCTGGAAACTTGTTACTTTATCAAAATACTAAGATGAAAGACAAAGAGGAAGCATAACTAATAAGCATACCAGTGTATTAAACTTAAAGATTTTATTATGCAATAACAGAAATATAACTATTTAACTTTTCCTAGATAGAGCTGATATTGGATGAATAATGTGACGAAGAAAAATACATAATCTAGAATCTGTTTTCAGTTCAACAACTAGGATATGAACTCTGGGGAAGCAGACAGAGGTGGGCCTTGACAGAAATATTGTACTGGTGCCTCAAAGAATTCTCTGAGCAACTGAACTGAAACAGACCTAAATTAGCTCAGTATTTAACCCATTCTCTCCCTTAACTCTGTAACCAAAAGGGACACGTGACCTGGTAACAACAGAGATTAAAATATTGGTACATAGTGATACCAAGAAAGATATCAACCTCCTTCAACAAGTTTTGAAAGATGAAGCGATTCCATTCTAATTGGCATGATGCATGGCTTGGAAAACACATGTAAATTTATGAAATCTTTAGGTGCTACTAAGTGATAAGGGACAGTTGAAGACAAGCTGGCTGCCTGGCAGTTCAAGAGAAACCCTACCTGGAGGTTTTGCTTGAAAGGAAATTCAAGAGCAGTTGACAACACAAGGTGATGGCAAAACAGAAGACACTGGCAGTTTCGGGCTGGATTCACAGACAGCACAGGCGTGACAGACAGTGTACCAAGTCCCACACGGGGACAGTCTGGCCACGGCCAGCGGGCGCCACCGACGCTGCACCGCCAAGGCTGGGTCTGTTCCTAGACAAACCAAAACTGAAACACTGATAAACGTGGCAATGAGGTCAAGAGAGTGGAAACACCCGAGATACATTCAGGCTGCAGGGGAGCTTGAAGAAAATGTGTCTGAGGACGGCTGAAGGCTCGCCCAGTGAAACCAGAGCTTCACTGTAACTAGGCTTCTGGGCCACAGGCTGACAGATAGCTGAAGTCATCAGGGTCATTCACTAGAAGGGCTGGAGAAGAATGCGTGCCTGTGGCAAGAGGTCTTGAAAAAACTGTCTACACAGAAGAGGGAGTGGAGGTTGAACCAGATGATGCTAATGTCTCTTTTAATTCTTAGAGTCTACGCTTAGACAATGTGCTTCCCAAGTGGCGCAACGGTAAAGCGGTAAAGAATTTGCCTGCCAGTGCAGGAGACGCAAGAGACACAGGTTCAATCCCTGGGTCGGGAAGATCCCCTGGAGAAGGGAAGGGCATCCCACTCCAGTATGCTTGCCTGGAGAATCCCATGGACAGAGGAGCCTGTCGGGCTACAGCCCATGGAGTTGCAAAGAGTCAGACACAACTGAGCATGAATGCACATCACACATAAGCTTAGACAGTAACTGTGTGTGTACATGTCTGTGTTCAGAGATAAAGAGAAAAAAAAGGTTTTCTCATCTAAACTAATAAGTGATCATTAATAAATTATTAGCCTTGGATTCACATTGATGTTTGACAGGAAACAACGAAATTCTGCAAAGCAATTATCCTTCAATTAAAAAATAAATTTATTAAAAAAAATTATCAGCCCTGGATTAGCCAGGAATCTAAGACAAGGTCAAAAAGGCACTGCACTGATACAGGTCATGAATTACTTGTCAACAAAATTACCTTTTCTGTTAGTGAGGCATTTGACTGGGGACTGGGGATTACCCAAATAAAGAGCTGTTTCATGTTTGTGTGTGGGAGGGTAGGGGGCAGTTTATAATCCTGGGGTAGACATGAATATATTAAGAGGTAATTTCAACACAGAAATATTAATACATAAATCACACCACAGGAATTGAGGTGGGGCTTACAGATTAATCTGAAAATGTTTCTACTTAAAGTAGAAAAGTAGTCCATTTCAATCTTGGTCCAAACTGTTTCTGTGTGTAGTTCAATGGGAATAGCCCTGCTTTTAAAAGCCTGGAAATCACAGGTATTCTAGAATTTTGGGTGTTTTTTTCCCCTCACAGTTAAGAGTATGTACTAACTTAGGTGGAGTCGGTGGCTGTGAGTTTTCTACTTGCTTCCTCCACCCCCCACCATCCCGGCTTTCCCCACTTGGAAAAATAAAAAACTCCACTCTGCGGTTGAGGGGAAAACAGCAGGGGGAAGGGGCTGCCCAAGAGCAGAAAAGGCTGTCACAGCAACTACGCCGAGCCGCTCGCCGCCCAGCTGGCAGGCAAAGAGACCACGTCCAGATTCCAGACTGGAAAACGCAGCGGTTCAAGACATTCTAACGGAAAATTCACAGGGAAGATCCAGACTCGGTCCCGGGAGGAACACCTCACCCAGGGAACGAACCCGAGTCTGGGATGGGATACGACGCTGACTGTCGAGCTGGGGCCGAGGGAAGAGGATGAAAACAAGGAAAGAGGGAGAGCAGAGGACCCGAAGGCGTTGTGAAACCCCCGCAGACGGAAGTGCGGGGACCCTCAACGCACACGTGCTGGCAGGTTTTCAAAACGAGTGGAACCTTTCTCCCTAATCCATAAGGTGGGGCGTAAGGAGGGTGTAAACGGGAGCAGCCACTGCTGGGTTAGACAGAGTGAGGCGGCTTAAATCCGGATCTGACTACTAGAGGAAGTCATTCTCGACCTCTAAGACTCTAAGACTCCTTACCAACGAAATAGGAAAGTACGTCCCTCCCTAAAATAGTTGTAGTGATGGAGAGTAAGAATTTATACACTTAGTAATGGACATCTGCGCCTCGGCACACAGCAGGCATAATATGATACACACACCTACTGGGGTTAATGCTTCATTAACCTATAACTTGTGATCTGACAAATGTCCAGTAAGGACATGACAGTTTGTGGTGGGTCAGTCCTATTTTATGACCTGTTTATAAATCTGTCTCTTACTTTTGTGCCCTGAGCCACCACCTTTTTAAAAGCAAGCAAAATGTAATGTGCACTTTCAAAGTGCTTATCAAGTCAATTGGGCTTTAATTTTACATATGCAAACAAATTATAGTTGGGGAAGGGTGGAAAACTTATCAGCAGCCTGCTCACTGGGCTTTGCTGAACTATGTTAACCGTGATCCATGTGCACTTATTTCTACTTAAGTGTGCATTTATCCTGGGCTGAAGATTATACAAGTGAAAGAAAGTGAAAGTGTTAGTCGCTCAGTCATGTCCCACTCTTTGCAACCCCATGGACTCTATCTAGCCCACCAGGCTCCTCTGTCCATAGGATTCTCCAGGCAAGAATGGAGAATGAGTGGGTTGCCATTTCCTCCTCCAGGGGATCTTCCTGACCCAGGGATCGAACATGGGTGTCCCACACTGTGGGCAGATTCTTTACCTCTGAGCCTCTAGGGAAGCCTGAAGAGTATGCAAAGTGACATTAAATAAAGGTTATTATCTTATTTAGTCTAACACTATTGTTCTCTTGAGCTTTTGTTTAAAAGCAAATGAAAGAATCCTACATGATTGAACATATCTAGAATTCACAAGAAACTATGCCTACTACAATCATAATCTCAAGCCTGAAATTCAGGAGCATAATTCAGGATTTTGTTAAACTGAGGTTTAAAAAGATTCGAAAGAATCAAAGTCTTTCAGGGGGCTGCGGTATGGAGAAAGTCAACGATATTTAAGATTATGCCCTGGGGAAAATGCTCAGGGGTTCAAATTCACCTCTTTTAAGTAGTAAAAATAAACTGTGGCATGTGGAGAACCTTCCTGTGAATATGCTAACTGTGAGGCAACCTCTACAGGGCAGACAACTTCACAGCTTGAGTGGCTGAGAATAATTACACTTCTAGAAAAAGCCCCTAACAGCTAAGGAACTAAAACAGAGTGAGTAGTATACTTTCAAGTCGAAGATTCTAGGGGGTTAGATGGGGAATGGGTCAGTTACATCTGTGAGCAAGGTCAATCTTACAATATTTGGAGACCCTAAACACAACAACAGCATAATAATATTCTTTAACTTCTGTATGAGAGAAAAATAGAAAGAAAAAAAAAAGCTATTCTCATATTTGTTTCCAACACTTTCTTTAGAGCAAAGTCAGAGGGTTGAGAATCAGCAGGAAACTTCTCTTTAGGAAAAGGATTTGAACCATGTTGGTCTTAAATTTCCTCCTACTGCCAAACATCCACAGCCAAAGTGTTTCTAAAAAGACCAGCAAATGAGAACTCAGTAATTTTTAAAGCAAGTCAGGAAAAACTGAAAAGGTTAACAGAGGTTTTGTTGGGTAAAGCAGACTCAAGAGCCCAAAATGCAGATTACCAGCTGCAAGAACAGGCGTAGGGTACTTGAGCTACTCATCAGTCATCTGGCCTCTTCCCTTAAGGAAAGCCAGTAGGCTTCAGGGACGGAAGACAGCAGCACAGACATCGGGAACAAGCCTTGCGTCACAGTGAATTAGTGGCTCAACGTGGGTAAAAAGTCAGGACTCCTAACGACCACAACACATGCACCGTGTCATTAACCACCGAGGTCTTAAGGGCCTTTTACCCTCATCTAATGTCACTAGTACCTCGTGGGTGCTTAAGGAGAGCCTCAACTGCTGACAGTGTTTCCAAAGATTACGATTCTCAATCTAGGCTACACAGCAGAGGAACCAAAGGCTCTTTAAGAGATCTGATGCTCAGACCTCACCTCGGCCTAAGTAAATTGGAATCGCCAGGTGGTAGGACCCAGACATCAGTACATTTTTAAAGCTCTCCAGGTAATTTCAATGCTCAGCCAAAATCAAGAGACCTGAGATTAGTCCTTAATAATATATATTTATAGTTTTATTATATTAAGAAACCATTATCACATGTACATATATGCACAGCACATATGCCTTCACAGATGAATTAATCAAGCATAAAGCCACCTGTGGAAACTTACTACTAAAATGAAATTTAGGTAATTACACATTCATTTTCAGCTGTGAACAGATAAAAGGCCTAGAAACCCAAATCACGTAATACTCTTCTCACTTATCCCACTAATGCTCATGAAGGACAGATCGCCAACATTCTGCATTAGAGTGGGATGGTGGCTCCGGAAAAGGGACATTTTAGATGCAGTTATGCAAGCAAACCGGAAGATGGAGAATCCCCGCTTACCTGGGCTCTGCGTGGGAGCCAGAAGAGATGCTGTGTCAGGGCACGGCTCAATGGTACACCAGTTTTCTCGGTTTATCTGAAGGGAAAGAAAGAGAGATTGAGTAAAAGTCATGCGTAAAAAAGCACAACGGAAAAAGACATACAAACAGGAAGATCATGGTGCAGCCAAGGGCGAAATAAAAAAAAGAAGTTAACAGCTAAAATGGATCAAATGTTGAACTATGTATCTCACATCCTGGTTTGCAAGTCAGAAAAAAGTGCAAAAATAATTCCTGTTTATTCAAGGATTACTGTAGTTTGGGTATCAGGTTAAGAATTCTACATACATTATTTCAATTCATCCTGATAATTCTACATATATCATTTTATTTAATCCCCACACTAGCTTGAAAAAGTTTGTATTATTTCTCTTGCCAAAAAATAACTAGGCTTGGAGGACCTACATTTGTCAATTTCTGATCTTTGGTGAGAAGATGCTAAACTATATGGGTGAGAAAGAACAACAGGTTTCCTAAACATGCTAAGCAAGATAAGGTAGAAAGTTATGGGGCATTCTGTCAAATTACAACTGTCTGACAAAGAGCAAACACAAGAAATTAAACTGCTTGCAAATAAACTGTGCAAACCTAGAGCCACAGGAAACAAACACCAAATCATTGACTCGCTTCAGCTCTTTTCCCAGTAGACAGGAATGGAGGCTGGGACCAGAGGCCATCAGTGTTTAAACTCCTGGTGTGTTACAGAATGATGCCAAAAATTTGAAAGTGATCCTTGAATGGAAAAGAATATTCAGCAGGGTCCCTGGGATTATGCAAAGTATCCCCTTTCAAAATGCAATCTGAGTGAGTATTAAGGATGAAACCTCAAATTCAGTAACCTTAACAAACCCAATCCCCATCTTTCAAAGAATGGAAACAGCAAATTTTTCTTAAAAAACAAAACAGACCCTTTCATTTAGAGAAGGATTTTCTGACTGTGAACTGCACCTCATTTGAAACGAGCCAAACTTCACTTCCAGTGAAGAAAGTTTCTCTGTCAACAGGAAAAGCAAGAGTCCATAATTACTGTACTTTTGCTACATGAACATAGCAACAAATTTTAAAGAGATAACGGACATTTTAAAATCAGACCCTTTAACAACAGTGAAGAACGCTGAGCCACTCTGAATTATCATGACATTGCTCTCTCCCAGTCCATGATCTTCAACACCTCTCCACTCAACATTTTAGGAAACTTTGTTAAAACTTTTGATCCGAGAATGTTTTTATCACCTTTTCAGACGTTACTCAATAGCCAATGAATAAACAGAATTCTCTTCATTGTTAATACTTGAGGGACAAATTGACGTCACTTTTCATGTCATTTTAGGCATTTGTGTGTTACAGAAAATGAGTTACACATTTTGCAAAATAACACATAAATATATAAATAATACAAAAATAATGTATTATTTAACAAAAAAAGTTAGCAGAGTATTATTTAAAATAAATACCATAAATATGGAAAGAAAGAAAATTAAATCAAACCCCTTTAATGAAATAGGCTGATTTCTGAATAATAATGAGGAGAACATACTAGTGATGGGCGACAACTCCTCAAGGATCTCCCTGTGCGTGTCTAGTGAGCAAAGGACACTGTCTGTCCTTTCATTCTAGGTTGTCTTGTTAAGAACGTCTCCATATCGCACAGCCTGGGGAGACAGAGATACTGTTTCTTTCTGTGTGAAGACAGATGTGTGAAGTCAGAACAAAGGTGAGGCAGGCTCACTGCACGGAGTAAAACCTCAGCGGCCCCACGGCTGTGACGCAGCATCTCCCCGGGCCCCTGTGTTGCCCCCGCGGAGCAGGGCAGCCGGCAGCACCAACAAGAAGCCGGTGCTCAGGGTGCTTTTTGACTTCAGACAGCAGCCATGAAACTGTCAGGCTGACTTGGTAGCTTGCAAGTAGGGTGAAATCTCAGACCCCATCACAGTTTTGACAGTTCAGTTCAGTTCAGTTGACAAGCTCAAACCGTAAAGCGTCTGCCTACAATGTGGGGGACCCGGGTTTGATCCCTAGGTTGGGAAGATTCCCCTGGAGAAGGAAATAGCAACCCACTCAAGTATTCATGCCTGGAAAATCCCATGGACCGAGGAGCCTGGGGTCTACAGTCCATGGGGTCGCAATGAGTCGGACACGATTGAGCGACTTCACTTCAGTTGACAACTAGTATATATTAAATAGTACTGCTATACTTAAAGGTAGCAGCAGCCAAAAATCTCCTGATGACACCTATGTGGTGAAAAGCTTTAATCTGATTCAATGTTTCATTGAGTGGTTATGCCTGAGTGATCATAAAAAGACAACTAATATCCACTCTACCTTTTCTATAGGTTCCTGAGTCTTCTTTAATGACTATTAATCAGCTATACCCCAATACAAAATGTCTGTGGTGTTAAAAAATAAAATTAAAACTTAAAGAATGAAACCAACACTGGAACATTTTGTTAATTAAACTCCAGACTTTGGATTTCATTCCTTTTTCCATTAATGTTCTTTACTGTTCCAGGATCCAATCCAGGGTCAGCTAGTTCAGTTCAGTTGCTCAGTTGTGTCCTACTCTTTGCAACCCCGTGAACTGCAGCACGCCAGGACTCCCTGTCCATCACCAACTCCGGGAGCTTACTCAAACTCATGTCCATTGAATCGGTGATGCCATCCAACCATCTCATCCTCTGTCGTCCCCTTCTCCTCCCGCCTTCAGTCTTCCTCAGCATCAGGGTCTTTTTCAATGAGTCAGTTCTTCGCATCAGGTGGCCAAAGAACTGAAGTTCAGCTTCAGCATCAGTCCTTCCAATGAATATTTAGGACTGATTTCCTTTAGGATGGACTGGTTGGATTTCCTTACAGTCCAAGGGACTCTCAAGAGTCTTCTCCAAGACCACAGTTCAAAAGCATCAATTCTTCAGTGCTCAGCTTTCTTTATAGTTCAACTCTCACATCCAACATGACTACTGGAAAAACCATAGCCTTGTCTAGATGGACCTTTGTTGGCAAAGTAATGTCTCTGCTTTTTAATATGCTGTCTAGGTTGGTCATAGCTTTTCTGCCAAGGAGCAAGCATCTTAATTTCAGGGCTGCAGTCACCATCTGCAGTAATTTTGGAACCCCCCAAAATAAAGTGTCTCACTGTTTCAATTGTCTCCCCATCTATTTGCCATGAAGTGATGGGACCAGATGCCATGATCTTCATTTTTTGAATATTAAGTTTTAAGCCAACTTTTCCACTCTCCTCTTTCACTTTCATCAAGAGGCTCTTTAGTTCTTCTTCACTTTCTGCCATAAGGGTGATGTCATCTGAATATCTGAGGTTACTGATATTTCTCCTGGCAATCTTGATTCCAGCTTGTGCTTCATCCAGTCGGCATTTTGCATGATGTACTCTGCATTAAGTTAAATAAGCAGGGTGACAATATATAGCCTTGATGTACTCCTTTCCTGATTTGGAACCAGTCCATTGTTCCATGTCCAGTTCTAACTGTCGCTTCTTGACCTGCATACAGATTTTTCAACAGGCAGGTCAGGTGGTCTGGTATTCCCATCTCCTAAAGAATTTTCCACAGTTTGTTGTGATCCACACAGTCAAAGGCTTTGGCGTAGTCAAGTAAGGCAGAAGTAGATATTTTTCTGGAACTCTCTTGCTTTTTGATGATTCAACGGATACTGGCAATCCAGCATACCACATCACATTTTGTGTGTGTGTATTTGCACATTTTTGTTCATAATTGCATATTGTGTGCAATTTTGCATTTTAAGACCTTTATTGAAATATATGACAAAGGTTTGTATAGTCAAAGCTATGGTTTTTCCAGAAGTTATGTACAGATGTGAGAGCTGGGCCATAAACAAGGCCAAGCATGAAAGAATTGATGCTTTCCAGTTGTGGTGCTGAAGAAGACTCGAAAGTCCCTTGGACTGCAAGGAGATCAAACCAGTCAATCCTAAAAGAAATAAACCCTGAATACTCATCAGAAGGACTGGTGCTGAAGCTCCAGTACTTTGGCCACCTGATGCAAAGAATAGACTCACTGGAAAAGACCCTGATGCTGGGAAAGATTGAAGGCAGGAGAAGGGGATGACAGAGGATGAGGCTGTTGGATAGCATCACTGATTAAATGGACAAGAGTTTGAGCAAGCTCTGGAAGACAGTGAAGAACAGGGAAGTCTGATGTGCTGTTGTCCATGGGGTTGCAGAGTCAGACAAGACTTAGCTACTGAACAACAACAAATTGAAACATAATTCATATACTCTAAAACTCATCTATTTAACTGTCTATTAAATAGCCCGTTCAATGGTCTAGTGTCTTAATACAGTTGGGAAACCATGGCCACTATCTAATTTTAGAACATTATCATGGCACAAAAAAGAAACCTTGCCTTCATCAGTAGTCACACACTACCCCAAACCCCTCCCCTCCCAGTTCCAGGCAATCATTAATCTATGTTCTATTTCTATGTATTGGCCTACTCTGGACATCTTATCATACATTTTGATGTCTTTGGTTACTGGCTTCTTGCACTTAGCTCTTAAGGTTCAAGGCTTTCAAAGTTCATCTGTGTCTCAGCATTTATCCGTACTGTACCCTACTGCCAAATAACCCATAACACTGTATGGATATGCCCACATTTTATTTATTCATTCTTCAGCTGATAGACAAGTGGGCTGTTTTCACTTTCTGGCTGTTATGAATAATCCTGTCATGAATATCCATATACGAGCATAGGACATGTTCCACTTCTTTTGGGTATACACCGAAGGGTGGAACACCCATGTCATGTGATGATAACTTTACATTTATTAATAAAGTCTGAGGGTTTGCCAGACTTTCCAGAGTGGCCGTGCCATTTGACATTCCTACCACCAATGTCCAAGTGATCTGATTTCTCCACTCACTTGCCAACACCTGCTACTGCTCTTCCCTGTGTTTAGATGTATCCCACTTGACAGGTGTGAATGGTATCTCATGTGAATATATGATATACACTTTCAACTTTTCCTTTTTTAAAATATATGTATTTTATCAAAGTACAGTTGACT